TTTGTTAAATCAAACCGCGAACAAAAGCCCTGTGCTGCAGTTCAAACAGAAGATTGACGACAGTCAGTTCGTCAACAGAGCCCTTTAACATTGCACCACGTGCCACTTCACCTCCCGCCGTGCTCCGCTGCCTCTCACAACAGCCACTCCACCGTCGGGGCAAATCCACCGCTGAGATCGTCCGGGCAACCATCTCACCCCAACCCATCCCGACCCCAGATGACGGCCGCACACTTTGCGACGCGTGCGCCAGGACGAGGGGAGTGGCCGCACCAGTGGGTGCTCTACACCAGTGGGTGCTCTACACCAGTGGGTGCTCTACACCAGTGGGTGCTCTACACCAGGGGGTACTCTACACCAGTGGGTGCTCTACACCAGGGGGTGCTCTACACCAGGGGGTGTTCTACACCAGTGGGTGCTCTACACCAGGGGGTACTCTACACCAGTGGGTGCTCTACACCAGGGGGTGCTCTACACCAGGGGGTACTCTACACCAGTGGGTGCTCTACACCAGGGGGTACTCTACACCAGTGGGTGCTCTACACCAGGGGGTGCTCTACACCAGGGGGTGCTCTACACCAGTGGGTGCTCTACACCAGGGGGTGCTCTACACCAGTGGGTGCTCTACACCAGGGGGTGCTCTACACCAGTGGGTGCTCTACACCAGGGGGTGCTCTACACCAGTGGGTGCTCTACACCAGGGGGTGCTCTACACCAGTGGGTGCTCTATACCAGGGGGTGCTCTACACCAGTGGGTGCTCTACACCAGGGGGTGCTCTACGCCAGGGGGTGCTCTACACCAGGGGGTGCTCCACACCAGGGGGTGTTCCACACCAGTGGGTGCTCCACACCAGGGGGTGTTCCACACCAGGGGGTGTTCTACACCAGGGAGTGCTCTACACCAGTGGGTGCTCCACACCAGGGGGTGCTCCACACCAGTGGGTGCTCCAGACCAGTGGGTGCTCCACACCAGGGGGTGCTCTACACCAGGGGGTGCTCTACACCAGTGGGTGTTCTACACCAGGGGGTGTTCCACACCAGTGGGTGCTCTACACCAGGGGGTGTTCTGGTCGGCCACTCTCTCCGCCTCGTACTTCTTCCAGAGGTCGCAAACGGGTTTTGATTCCTTACCCATACCCGTACCCGGCCGCACCAGGGTCGCAAATGGTCACCGGGTATCGGGTAGGGTACGGGTATCGGGTACCCGGTTGCGACCTCTGACTTCCCGCGTGCTTCCCACTTGCTTCCCACTCGCTTCCCACGTGCTTCCCACGTGTTTCCCACTCGCTTCCCACTCGCTTCCCACGTGCTTCCCACTCGCTTCCCACGTGCTTCCCACTCGCTTCCCACTCGCATCCCACGTGCTTCCCACGTGCTTCCCACTTGCATCCCACGTGCTTCCCACTTGCTTCCCACTCGCTTCCCACTCGCTTCCCACGTGCTTCCCACTCGCTTCCCACTCGCTTCCCACGTGCTTCCCACTCGCTTTCCACTCGCTTCCCACTCGCTTCCCACGTGCTTCCCACTCGCTTCCCACTCGCTTCCCACGTGCTTCCCACTCGCTTCCCACTCGCTTCCCACTCGCTTCCCACGTGCTTCCCACTTGCTTCCCACTCGCTTCCCACGTGCTTCCCACTCGCTTCCCACGTGCTCCCCACTTGCATCCTACGTGCTTCCCACGTGCTTCCCACTTGCATCCCACGTGCTTCCCACTTGCTTCCCACGTGCTTCCCACTCGCTTCCCACTCGCTTCCCACGTGCTTCCCACTCGCTTCCCACGTGCTTCCCACTCGCTTCCCACGTGATTCCAACTCGCTTCCCACTCGCTTCCCACGTGCTTCCCACTCGCTTCCCACGTGCTTCCCACTCGCTTCCCACTTGCTTCCCACGTGCTTCCCGCGTGCTTCCCACGTGCAATGAATACTGCTGCTGATGATAGTGATAACAAAATAGCAATACGATTGATGCCGATTACCGCACAATTATCATGATAGTGATGAAGATCATGGTGATTTCGATAATATTGATATTTCTGATGATGACAATGCCATTGATGACAGTGATAACCAACACAAACTCGTGAATTATCGTGAATTCTCAAGTGGCTTCTGAGCCACCAGAGAACAGTTCGTCCCATGGCTGTGGCGCGTCCTGCCAGCTTTCCCTTCTCGCTGTCTCTCTCTCTCTCTCTCCTCCCTCTTCTTACCCTTCTCTCTCTCTCTGTCTCTGCTCTCTGCACTTCTCGCCTGTCAGCGCTCGCTTTGTGTAACTCACACGTGGGGCCACGCCGCCCAGCGCCATCATCTGTTATGCAACCTCCACGTTTCTGTGACACAACGGAGTGGCTGCGTCGTAACTACGCACACACAGAAACGTGTTCACACACACAAGGACAAAGGTCCCCCGTGCAGCCTTAACAAACTCTTGGGGCAAGTGCCGTTGCGCGTGCAGCACCACGCGCGGCCGCCTTTGTCTCCCGGATGGCGATTTTTACGCACCGCACCAAGTACTCATTTGAGGTTGCGTCGACCTAGGGGGAGGCCCGGGACCATTTCAGATAATCCTCACCGGTATTGGTGGCCGTGAACTGAAATTGGACCCGGCTCGTGTGGTTCCTGGCGCAGCGCGCTAACCGCTGCGCCACCGCTCCTCACATTGCACGCGCACACACAGAGAGAGGCGCGTGGAGGCTGCGACCACCAGAGGGCGCATGGCAGCTGCTGCCCATGATGATGATCCGATCATCATTGATATCCACATTTACACAACCCGCACTCACCGGCACGGCGAAGTCTGCTGAAACAATTCCCATAGCCTACACGGTGTGAGCAGGCCTTCATCTGCGACTTGACAAATCACTGAACATAACAATATAGGAATTCATCTTCCTCGTATGGGTGATGCAGGTTGGAGTGCAACCGCTGTGATTTCACAGTGAGGTGGTGAAGGAGCCAGAGGATTGCCGAGTCGAGAGTAGCAGGAGTGGTGAATCGCTTCTGTGATGATGCCTCCTCCTCCTTATCCTCAGTAATTGTGAAGCGCCCACGGTTCTGTCCTGGGTAGTGACCACCAGGCTCAGACTGTGGTGCATAGGCGAGTTCGGGCAAATGCCCGGTGGGCCGGTCTGCGTGGGGAAATTGCAATTGTGATCAAAGTAAATACATACATTTATATTTACACACCATTTAGATATATTATTGTAATTCAAATATTGTATTGCCTCTTGTTGGGTCAAGTTCTTGGCCGAAAAGACGTAAAATTTTGATTTAAAGCTTTCGTGAATACGAAAAGACGTCATCGTTTTATTTTATTTTATTACCGATATTTTCGCCACGTTCCTTTGGGGGGGACGCTGAGTCGGCATTAAGTCCCCCGTATTCGGCAGCCCCAAAAATCCTTCCTCACCGGCCCCATTTGTTGTTGTTTTTCGGACCCAGCCCCCCCCCCCCCCAAGTGGAGCCAATGATGAGCGCACGCCAATTTGTGGCCCGGTGTGTTCACAAACGCCTGAGCCGATTTTTGTTTGTTAGTCCCAGTCCGTCACTGGTCACCACAGCCGCCACCGCACACCTGCCAGCGAGTGTTTTTCATTTTCCGTTTGTGCATCGCCAAGGATCCCGATGGTAAATGCACAACATGCCATCATGATATTGATATAGCGATTTGAAAGAGTAATACTAATAAATTGTTATCTCTGGAAGGCTCGTTGAGTCTTGAGACTCTTTTTCAGCAGCCACATTTGAATGTTTGGCCAATTCCTAAAGTGAGTGTCTGGCTTCATGGGGGACAGAAAACAGGAAGCACCCGAAGTAAACCCACGACAGAGAGATATGAGAATCCATCGTTGTGCTGTCATCTCCTCGCTGTCTCCCAGGCAGCCTCATCCCTTCCAAAAAATATCCTGAAACAGAACATCAGTGCTGCAAATGAGATGTGTGACGTTCATCTTTACCCATGTATCGATAGTTAACTTTTAATGTGCAATTGTATTCAAGGACCGTGCGTTGTCTTGGTGTGGTCTGGGACTGTTTTTGCTGTTGTTTTACTGTCTTACCCAAGCTTGTGAATTGGTGTACTTGTGCAATTTAACGTATTTCTTTTTAGTGATTTGCTTACCTTCCGTATATTTTGCACTCGTATCGTATTTTGTATTGTTTCCTGTTGTAACTGACTCACCCGCCCAGACTGGGCATTTGTGAAAAAGAGCTTCATAGCTCATCGGATTTCTCCAGGATAAATACAGATTCTGATTCCCAAGGAGTCTCCCATTCAAGCACTAAACTGGCTCAACTCTGGAGAATATAAACGCGAGATGATGGAGTCCAAACAACAATCAGTCCTCATCTTGAATCCATTTGCAGCAGCTGCGTTGTCACTGGCTGCTCGCAAATGCGCATGAATAATAATTTCATTTCAGATACTTTATTAAAATAAACTTTTTTTCTGTCTGGTTGTTTGGCTGGCGGGAGGGAGAGAGTGAGGGAGAGAGGGAGGGAGGGAGGGGCGGACGGTCAAGTCCTAAAGACGTGTGGGCTGCTACATACAATATATATTGTCCTTATATGGCAAGAGCGTTATTGACGGATGTGTTGAGCTAATGTTGTTATCTGCGCTTGCGCGCCGCAGATATCGCAGCAGAATCACCAACTAATGCGTTGGATTATAAACAGTTATTGACATGATCATGAACTAATATTCGATGCGGCGGAGCAAGCGATTCAGGTGAAACGCGCTCGAAGTACAAAACAACCCCCAGCGGTCAGAGCGGACCAGCTCTCGGGGTGCGCAGGCAGTACAACTGCACCCGGGGCCCACGTGACCGAGGATCCCAGGCCCCGGCTGCCACAGCCGCGCCTCGACACTTTGCGCACCGCGCTTGCAATCCAGACCATCGATCATAAAACATCCGCATGTCATACCCAGGCAGTCCAAGTGCAAGAACCGGGCTCAAAATCCCTGCTTGGCTTTCGATGACACACGTGCGACGAGATGGGGGCGCGTCGAGTCGAGGACCCTCGGTTCATTGCGGTGGTCGGGGTTTGCCGCATCATCAATAACTCCACAGGGTCATCGCCCGCGGTGGGGTCAGCCGCGGCCTTCGCCGAGCGGGGAGGTAGAGGGCACCTTGAGCTCCCTCGTCTCTCTCTCCGAGCCCATCGCCCTGTAGCCGTAGCTCGTCATCATGGAGGAGCAGGCCTCCTGCACCCTGGACACGCTCTCGAAGGACATCTCCTGCCTCCACTTGGAGGCCACGCGGAGCGCGTCCCTGGGACGCACGGAGAACGCGGGCCCGTCCGCCGCGGCGCCGCGCGTCATGTTCAGAGCGAACGAGAGGAGCTGCGGATCGGCGCTGATGCCGGCGAAACTGAAGAGGCGGCGCAGGGCGACCACGGGCTCCTGCACCAGGTCCTCGTATCGAACCAGGGCGTAGCGGTGGCGCAACAGCGCGGACGCCACGTCATCCAAAGAGCCACCTCCAACATCATTGTAACCACCACCACCACCAGGATCTGCACCACCGTCACCACCGCGGTCATCTGAATCGTCACCATCAGCGGCATAACCACCTCCCGCGGCACCAGCAGCAGCAAATATATCTCCGAGGCCTCGCATGCTCCGGCTGATGTTGTGGTTGGCGTCGCAGACGACCTTCAGCGTGCTCAGGTCGTCGCCGAGGTCGTGGAAGGCGCGCCCCCTGGACAGGTGCACGGCCCTGGGGTCCCTCACGAGGTGCACGACGCGGAGGCGCAGCGCCGGCTCCTCGAGAAGAGCGCGCAGCGCCGCGAGCTCCATCAGCCGCGTCTCCTTGATGACGGCGTGCTGGTGCGCCAGGCACGACTCCCGCACGCCCCGCTCCAGCCTCTCTCCGCCGCACGCGCGGAGGCAGTCGCTGCCCCGGGGCGCGTCTCGTTTGCCCCCGGCCGTGGCCACGGCCGTGCCCGTTCTCCTCCGCGCCCCGCGTCCCGTCGGCTGCGCGCTCGCGTTGCAGGCGGGAGGAGCGCAGAGCGCGCGGCTCTCCGAGAACTGGAAGAGCTGCGACAGCGTGGCAGACCTCATCGTCTGCTCACCATCCTCCTCCTCCTTCTCCTTATCCCCGTCAACAGCATCGCCGTCACGCCGACGGTGTTGGCGAGGAAGCGGCTGTGGACGATTGACGGGGAGCTTCAGGTACGGTGCGAGGGCCGCCGCGCGGCACTGGAGGAGTGACCCGAGCAGCGAGGCGACCTCCGCCTGCCTCTCGAGCATCCCCGCGGCCGCGTGGAGGGGCCGCGCGTCCCACACGTGCCACGCGGGCTCGGGCAGGTAGAACACGTCCGGGTGCCGGTTGAATATCTGTCCCAGGAAGGAGGAACCCGAGCGGAACGTGGTCAGGATGAGCGTGTGCGTGCGCGCGGGGCGACTCGTGCCGGGAGGTGAACTTGCATTTGGACCGTCGGCGTAGCTCTCGACGACGTCGCCGTCGGCGTGGCCGTGGTGGAGGCGACGAGAGGCGCCTCGGGGGGAGTTGCCCAGGCGGTGCAGCAGCAGCCGCAGCAGCGGGAGGGAAATCAGCACCAACGCGAGCAGGAGACGCGCGAGGCTGAGCGTTCCGGACCCCATCTAGGAGGGGCGGGGGGCAGCATGTGGCGAGGGAGTCAATTGATTACCGATCGCATGAGCCACGTACCCCCGCCCACGCACACAAATAACTCCTCCTGCTCATCCAAACTACCTGTATGCACTGGCGGAGTCAGTCTCAAGACTGTTTCGGGAGGGTCCCGCCTGCTACGTTGCGATTGCCTTCGTGTGCGAATGGAACTGGAGGATCGGGATGAAAATGAAATAAATAAAATCTAAACGCGGAGATTACCCACCACGGCACACGATGGGATTAGTGCATACGCTCCGCACAGATGGATTCAGGAGTCCATTGCTGGACTGTCATCTCTTGACCAACCTCGCAGGCAAAGCCTCCAACTCCGGGAACCCCTAAGGCAACCAGTCTCTCATTCAAACACCCTCCAGGCTCAAACCTGCTCGGCTTCCGAGGTTTTGGATTCCGGACGATTTGATCACCGGCATACACGATTTTACATAACGTATATTACAGTACATTCTAATTTACGCTATGACGCACAGAGATAATTGAATACGGCGCCGCAATGCAAACTCGTTCGGGAATGTGTTACAAGTGTTACAAATAACATTCCTTACCGCACTTCGCATTGTGGCGTCCGAGTGATGGATGGAGTGGCGATGACTCTTGCCTCTTGCAGACTCGCTTTCACAACTCCGCAGGGAGCAATCGCCGAACGCGAACTAACCCCCACAAGTAAAGCTACCCAAAGAAGCGAGGGTCACCACCGCGACACGTTCTCGCAAGGAGAGCGTTGCGCGATGACGCCTGCGTTGACCGGGGGACATTCCGATGTGTGTGTCCCTCGATGGTGTCGAGCGAGTTGACGTTTTGAGAGCGAGACCACCACCACCACACGAGACAGAGCCGCACGTGTCTCCCCGCTCAGCTGCGGCCGTATCCCGTGCAGGGCGAGCAGCTGATAGTCCGTGCATGTTTTTGCAGCGGGGACAGCTCACACGTGGTGCTTCATAAAAATGTGGGGCTTGGCCGACACTGCGGCTATTCATGTGATTATATATATACACACACGCACGCGCGCGCACAGTATCTGCAGTTCAGGCGTACAAATACAAAAATGAAAGCAGCAACACAAAGGCATGAAAAACAGATTCCACCTCTTTCTAGCGCTTTCGGGCTGTTGGGCCATCTGTGGAAAAAAATAGCTTTGTAGCTCATAGGATTCCTCCAGTATGAGTACGGATTGTGATTCTGAAGCAGTGTTAGCGAGCAACGATGATGGTGCACCTGACATCACCACGCCCGGCCACATTTGTCTCCCCGGTGCTGATGTTTTAACACCGCAGTCGGCACAAACGTTTAGTGCCGATTTAGTCCAGCGAGGTATCGTCCAAGTTGTACCATCAGGGCCTTCTACAGCATCCTCTGGAGCTGGTCGTGTTAGGCAACATCTCCGGGCTGAGCTGCGATGAGAGTAGAATGTGGTTCATTTTGACGAGCAGAAGGATAACGGGTTTTTTTTTAAATCTCATCGCCGTACTCAACAATGATTCGATCTCGCGTTTTGAACGACAACGGTGGACGATATATTGGGAGAGAATGTGATCTGATGTGGCCGCCCCAAAGCCCTGACTTGACAGCAATATAACCGCGAATTATGAAGGAGAGCACTGCACACTTAATACAGTATTGATGAATATGGAGGAACTCAAAACAGCTGTCCTGGACTATACGTTCACAGTCTGCGGCCAAGATCCATTTTGGAAGATCGTGTCGGGGGAGAGCCTGGGCACGAATCAGCTGTGCCCTGAGAGAGTGGAGGCCACAACGACGCGCTGTTCCAATCGGGGGGTGCAGTTTTTTTATGAAAAAGGCCACGCTGTAGAAGTCACGATATTGCAAGATATTGAGAAATGAAAAATGCTGTCCAGATAAACAAAAAGAACAACAACAAAACGCGGAACTTTTCTTGGAAGTCTCCCCAAGTTATTGTCATTGCGATTAGGTCGGGGAGTAACAAACAAAAAAACGCGGTTTTTGGCTCTCAATATTTACATTTCGATGGGGACACTGGGCTGGGGCGAGGGACTGTTCGTCACCAATAATGGTCCTGAGCGAGTATCACACTCACCGCGTTGGATGCCACTGCTCGTTACACATGCACGGCACGTGCACCACGTGCGTGTGCTGTTCCAATGTGGAAAAAGAGACCAGGGAGGGAATGTTCTGACATTACACTCGACACTTATGGCCCAAAGTCAGTGGAAAATTCTGACCAAACGACCCACAATACGGCCGATTTAGTCACATCTCAAAAGCAAATTTGAGCACGGATAGTGTTTGTATGGGAAACCAACGTGCGTACTAGGTGTTATCGGATACTTCGGGGCTACGTTTGCGAGCGGCAAAGGGTAGAGTGGCACGAGTACACATTGTTGTACCGTACTTCTATATCCTCCCGCGTTTACCTTCCCCGCCTTCACCAACGGGCACCGACCAGCGTGGTGAAGTATGGTCAAACAACCCCGACGACCAGCACGGCGTGGGGAGGGCCCTCGTTCAGCAGTGAATAATTTCCCACTATTATTAAGTGAGAAATAATTTTACGCGATCTAACCCAAAGAAAGCCTCTTATGGAAAATTCTGTTCGCTTCCGAGAGACGTGTGGATTTGAGATTAACCTATCTAATCTATTCACGTTCGTTTTGTTGCAGAGGTTTGACGCCAAAGGTGAAACAAACAAAAAACGCCTTGTTAGGAGTTTGCCTGTGATCCCGTCTGCGGCATACAACGATTTCTTGCGCTTATGTAATTCTACGCTTCGTGTCCTTAATTTAAGAAGGGAAGTTTCATGACCGAATCGCTCACTCCGCTTCGCGCGGAGCTGGAGCGATTGTTAAAGTCGCCGCCGCGTGTTGAGAGTCGTGGGTCTTTGGGCCCCGTTGTAGCTGCAAGTCGCTTACTTGGTCTTCCCCTTCACGCCACTCGGCTAAATCCGAGTTGATTTGAGAAGCGGTGTGAGTTTGGGGGGGGGGGGGGGGGTAGAGTGATAAGCCACTTCGTTGAGCTATCATTTGTGGCCAGGTCGCTTCTGAGATTGAAGCTAATTACTTAGTGGGCTTTACCTGGTCAAATAAAACGTTTTTGTGATTTGCTTACATTTCCTATATCTTTCACTCCTTTACTGGACATCTGTAGAAGAGCTTTATAGCTCATCGGATTCCGAGTTGTGCCAGGCGGAGGGCGGAGTGTGCGTGCAGCAGGGGCACAAGGGTCGCGCTTGCGTGGTGACAGCAGAAGTGGGTCGGATTCACGACCTTTTTAAATCCTTTATATTAAGTTCACTTGCTTGCTTGCGCGCTTACGACCGTGCAAATCTTTCGGTCGTTTTTTAACCCACTTCCTGTGATCCAATCGAGCTGCCATTTTGCACACAGACTCGTTGTGCGTGACAATTTCTGTTCGCGAAATTTTTTTCCAAAATTTTACACTTTTTAGGAAAAAATAAATTATATTTAATTACCAATTGCTTAATGGTGGCGGGCAATCATCTGACACATGGGTGGCAGCCATCTCAAGCCAGAGGACGAGAGGACTCTAGCCGCCACGCATATAAAGGATTTATAGTGAAAAACTTTGTTTTTACGGGTTAATTTTTTACCTGTGTAAGACGTTGTACCTGCGACCATTCACCCTGAGGTCAAGCAGGGCTGAGTCTTGTTTACCCTTAGCTGGGACATTGCCTGGGAAACACGTGTTTTATTTAGGCTTTGGCTGCGAGGTTGCTAGATGACAGTTCATCAATGGATTCTTGAAACTACTGTCTATTATTGTACCCGCATTTAGGCAGAAAAGCTTCAATCTGATCCTCGTTGACTTTCTTTTCAGGAGGGTCCTGCCAGTGTTCTCAGGAGAGGGACTATGAGTGGTGAAATAACATTTAGAAATGTAAACATTGAGAAATGTACGTCTCATTTCTCTAATTCGGCGCACAATGGCCTTCGTGTGCACCGCGGCGGCTAGGAGATGTTAACGACCTCGCCTGGTATGCAGGAGGTCGTGGGTTAGATCCCGACCCTGACCTCTGTTGTATATTTGGAGTTTGTGTGCCTCTCTCGCCGTGGCCGCGTAGATTTTTCTCCGGTCCAACCGGGTTTTTTCCTCCACATTTAAAAACACGCGTGTAGAGTATTTGGCTGCTATAAATGTCCACGTGATAAGCCACTTCATTGGGCTATCATTTGTAGCCATGTCGCGTCTTAAAAAGAGCTACATCGCTGTGGGCCTTACCTGATCAAATAAAAAGTTTCAGTTTATTTTTACATTTTCAAATGACGTCTCTGGGTCTTTAACGTGCACTGTGAAACGAGCAGCACGATATACGGCTATGATACCAGATCACGACGTTTCGATCGCAACACAAGCAATCGTCATCAGTTCTGCTGAAGTAGCCTCCTTCAGCAGTTTTTACTTGCCGTGGTTGTCCCACCTGATGACGCTCGCTTGTGTTGCGATCGAAACGTCGTGATCTATTATTTGTCTACCTACGTGACTTTACCGAAAGAACCAAAGAGTATGGATTCCTGCAGTCACGAAAGCTTCAAATGAAGATTGATTATTATACCCGCAGTGATAACCAGTGGGAGTCGCTGGTTTCGAACCCTGATCCTCTGCAATAAGCGGCGGATGTACTAGAGCTGGGCCCATAGCCTGACCATTAGGATTTATAGTCAATTCACCAGAGCAAACACTTTGTTATTTTGTATATGTAGGGCCCTCTTTTAAACGCTTAACATTTCTGCAACACCGCCACCCCTGCATGTGGCAATGGACCGACACGAGGGATGCGAATACATTTGATAGATGTGGATGTACTTCTGTATTGTCACCGAAAACCTGCCCGGTAGATTGAAAATGATCAGGTCGCTGTTCATCCGAAATTTCCCCTCGAGGGGAGCTCCGCCTTGCTGTGACAAAGAGGCGTGGCAACCTCGTAGAGCCGAGGAGCCCTAGTCGCTAAAGTCGAGGACAGGTTGCACCCATACACCAGCCAGGTTCTTAGCGAGAGGCAAAACAACAGCTCCCTTCACCAACCCACAGGGATCAGCTTTCCATTTTCATATCATCGATCCCATTCTCAACTCGCGAGTTTGAAGGGGATGGGAAGTTTGTTTCATCGCACATTCAGTTTTTCTGCATAACTTTTCGTGCAAAGATAAACATTTGGGTTTTTCCTCCCTTCCCGATGGTGCAGGGTGATGTCATTGCAGCATTACCACCATTACCACGGTCTAGGACTCTAGGCCCTCTGGGACTGGGTGGCGTCCCAGCTGCGCCCTCTCACGAGGACGTGGCCCACGAGGTGGAGCCATGAAACCCAGCCAGGCAACATGTGGACCCCAGCTGCACGGGGCTTGCCACACGCCCTGTATTTGGCATCGGCACGAGCAGGCTTTGAACAGCAGCGAATAGAGAATGATCAGCCACAAGCTTTCATAATCAGCCACGTTCTACCCACTGCTGGCTGCAGGCTCTCCCCCCCCCCCCCCCCCACGAACCGTGGCTTTGTCTCAGTCTATTGATGCAAAGATCCACCCAGCGCCTGCACTCTGGCCGATTTCATCGCTCAATTTTCGCGGTGGACGTCTTCTTTGGCGCATTGCGCCTCCTTTGATTGCCAATGTCGTGATACTAAATCACCGGCCATCGTATATTCTAGTGACGTCTCCTGCCAAAGCACACTTTTCTTGTTTCTAATTTCCGTATGTTAAATCACGACAACCTGCTCGTGTCCGCCTGTATATTATCAATTCTATTCAGGTCCACGTTGAATAGATCTACAGATGCTGCGCTTTTCCAGTTGTGTTCCACCAACAGATATCTCCAATTGTTGAGTGAAATTGCTGGACACGACTCCTTGTTTTTCTCACATGTATCCTGAGCCCAACGTTCACCGCTTTCCAATGGGCCATTACCTGCTTATAAATATCATCAACCATATCTGAGGCAGGAATTTCCAAAAATGTTACTCTTTTTATCCCGTTACCCAATTTTATGTATAATTTGCTATATAATGTATGCAAGAGTATAAACGCGCACGCTTTATTTACCTTAAATCTAAAACTATCTTGGCAGCATATTGTTAACAAGTGTTGTACCAACCGACATTCCATTCGCTATTTCATCGTTTGCCGTTACAAAGCAAAGACTGATGTTCGGTCCAAGGTTTCAATCATTTGTTGCTCACAGCTAAACCAAAAATGCATCTTTAAAACAGACGCACAGACTCCCGTTACCTCTGCATGTCGTCATCGCATAACTCACTCACAATCTATTCGGAGTCACATTCAAATTATAGCCACTCATCTCGACTTGTAACGTACAACGTATTCGCTCATTCTGGAAGAGCGAGAACGACTCAAAGATGCGAGGATCCACAGACACTTGAGAAGGCAGTCGCGCGGTGAGCGGGCACCAACAATTGCTCAAGATGTACGGGCCCCTGCATGAAAATGTTTTACGGAAACTAACCGGACCACCCGAAGGAAACCCGCGTGTGCGAAGGGGTAACACACTCCATGCCATACAGACGGGAGAGGTGGAGAACACATATTTCCTGTACTCCCTTCTCCTGGCGAGCCGGGGTACGGCAACATCGATGTCCTTGGGAACGAAGGTTCACAACATTTGCGTACGATCCGCCAACCCTCGCCTCGAGTGCTGAATTGCAGACATGCACCACCATCGCTCAGCATCATTGCGCCCTTCACACATATATATAGGCAGACACATCTAGTGAAAATGTTTTGTGTTTGTTTGTTACAAATGCTAGCTTGGATGTAAATGTGAATTGGTAGAATCCATCTTAAAAACCGTATGTTGTCACACATGCCCACCAGACCGACACGGCAAGACTGCAGTGATTTCTAAAGTTTATTACAATTATCAACATGCGTTTCTTTACTATGGTAATCATTAAGGTCGGTCTTCGGCCACTAAAATGGTTTTGTTAGAAAAATATCTGGCACATGCTTGATCCACCATAAAAAAGTGTCCAGAAAACGAGTCTGGAGGATGCGAGCCGACCTCCACAAGTGGGCTCTGGGAGATGAGCCAATGTCTAAAAAACGCCCTTGAAATAAGCACACGGGCCTCACGCAGCGTGGCTATCAGTTGTGCAACATCTTGACGGAGTTTCAAATCCCAAGACTTTCGGAAAAACAAAAACATTCGTCTCCAAGCCAGATCGGCGCTCGTGTACGAGGGCCGATCTGGCTCAATTGACGCAACCATCGTTTGGATTTCCTATAAACTCCGAGGCGTTGTGCAAATAACTCGGACGTATTTCTCATTGCAAACTTTGAAAGAGACGCTCTCACTGACGCGCGGCAACGGCACTGCGGGCATCTCCCAAGGCAGGTCTAACCTCAGACGGCGCTAACAATGGGCACTGTGTGGACTCCAGTAGAGCGTATCAACGATTCACCTGCCCCAGCAATGCCACGATTTAGGGGCTGCAAGTCAATTCAAGAGTTGATGCTTTTTCGTTTCATTTTTGCCATCTTGTAAGTATTGTTTTCTACCTTCCGTTAATAGAGTTGCATCTGCTCCATAATCCCAAATGTAACATGAGCATAACATCGTTTGCATAAACTCGTGACTCTTTTCTTGCACGCCATTTAATGTATCGCAGGCGTGCGAATCGTCGTGAATCGATACATCGTCACATGCCTCGTGGACAGACTGCACGGCGCAGATACACACACACGCACGCACGCGCTACAGGCTCCTCATCGTAACTAATAGCTGCGGCCAAACAGAGTGTACGCTTTGGCCGGCTTGTTGCAGCCGACGCACGGTGGTTTGGAGGCGTCGTCCATCTTCTTGAGAGGGTTGAAGGGGATGCACAAACTCTTGGCTCCCATTGACGGGGCCCCCGGCTCCACGTCTGCATCCCTGTGAAGACGCACAACCGCCACAGTGACATTCAACGAGCCTTCAAATCGCATTCCAATGTTACTTCATTCACAGCCCCTTTCGATTTAAAGCTTTCGTGACTGCAGGGATTCATCTTCTTGGTTCTTTCGGTAAAGTCACGTAGAAGGGAAGTAATAAAATAATAAAAATAAAACATAATTAAATAATTCTCACGATATTTCAGCCACAACGCAAGCAGCCGTCCTCAGGTGAAGACCAGGTCTAGACGCTGTCTCCCCAACAGACCTGGTCTTTTTATTTTTTATTTTATTACTTCCCTTCTACGTGACTTTACCGAAAGAACCAAGAAGATCACAGCCCCTTGTCAAATCAGCACGCGATTAAGGCCTGCACGTGCCGTGTTGGTCAAGGGGGAGGGGGTCGTCATTTGACATGATCGCCGCATGGAAATCCGTCCGTCTCCGAGCTGCAATTTTTCCAAATTAAGTGAAAATTATATTTCATGTCATTGTTTATGTGCGATTACTGATGACCAGGCTGATAACATCAACTCACTACACGCTTGGAAACTGGTTTGACAGGCAGTTGCTTTGATACAACACCTGCGTCTCAGTTGTGTCAGGCTGAGAATAGAACCACTTCCCTGACCACAAAAAATAGTCACACCTAACATATACGACACATTTTATTGAAACTAGATAGAAGGTTTTACAGGGTCCGCTGTGAAAACTTACGACCACTTTATACAGCACGTATATTGCAATTGAATGGGCAACATGTCAGGGCTTATGCCGATGCTGTATTCACGACAATTTACCAATTCCTCCTCTTGAGCATTTGCGTGTAGGAAGAAACTGCAATGCGTGGAGAAACCCCATGCGTTGACAGCCTGTCCATTACAGAACGAGCAGGCGTGGATCTTAAGCCACACAACGGCACTCTGCTTCTCCAAAGCTGTAAACCGAGCAGCACTCGGTGTCCAATTTAGTCGAAAGTCATTTGAGATTGGCAATATTGGATCCAGAGATTAATCTGTTGTAAATAGTCAACACTAAAAACTACTTGGACTGATAAAAAATATATACAAAATACATTTGTATTCCTTTTATGACAGTAGTGGAATGTGGACGTAAGTTGTTGGGGTGCCACGGTGGCAAGATGTTAACTCCCTCGCAGGGTACGCAGGAGGTCGTGAGTTCAATCCCGACTCTGACGCCTGTATATTTGGAGTTTGTATATTCTCTCCCCGTGGTCGTGTGGATTTTTTGTCCGGGGCCTCCAGTTTTTCCCGCCATATTTAGAAACATGCGTTTGGAGCATTTGGCTTCCATTAACATCCACATGATAAGCCACTTCTTAGAGCTATCATTTGTGGCCAGGTTGCTTCTGAAAAAGAGCTATATAGCTTAGTCGGCCTTACCTAGTAAAATAGTTTTAGTTTTGTAGATTAGTTTGTTTAAGTTTATAGATGTTTTTGAACGGACAACAGTTTAGTGTCCAGTCCCTGCTGGCTAAGACTTCAAGGCAAATGGAACCATTCTGAAAGAGCTTAAAGAATCACAAATGCCACCACGTGCCCGGGCTGCCGCCCACCATGCTCGCGCGTACGCAGACACGCACCTTTCATTGTAACAAGTGGCCGTGAAAAGACTCCATTTCTTGGCCACATGCAAAATAGCTAAACCTAACCATCGCACGTGTTATTTGCAACTGAATATATTCCAGGGTCCACTAAAAGATAAAAACCTACAGCCACTTTGTAGAGCGTGTATGTTGTATTTAGAATGCAACATGTCGGGGCTTTAATGGATGCTGTATATTTACGAATATTTAACTTGCTGGGTGTGTGTTAAGCCGGCATAAACGGCACGTTATCTAAACGCGCTTGACCATATGCGGGTAGAGGCTCGGCAGGGTCCGGACAACATGCGCAGCCCACGCCGTGACTATTTAAACAAGGCAATTATCCTGGTACATGCCGACGCAATGCAGATACATTCCTGAGCCTTCGGGACAGGCTGCCGCGTGTGCTACACAACGCACCTGGCGGTGATCTTCTTGATCTCGTCCTCGCAATCCATTTCCAAGCAGAAAGGAACCTGCGCCACCTGCATAGGTACAGAGAGGGATGTGCATGTGCGGGGTCACGGAGGGGTCTCGCACGTATGGCACTGGCAGCTCAACGGTTAGGCTGTGCCAAGAAAATTCGGTGACCCGATACCCGGCCCAAGCAATGGGTGGTCCCATCTCCGTTAGTGAGCAGCTTCTCGGTCTCTTTCTCTATGTTCACATTTGGTCGGTCACTTCGCAATTCACAAGTGTGCTGTTGTAGGCGTGAGTAAATGTCAAATGCATTAGCCAGTTGTTTTACAGCACACATTCGGCATGCTGCATGAGACAACGGTTTACTATAAACATGCCTGCCATTATAAAAGTCAATCTGAGCTCATTTTCTCAAACAAATTTGAAGCATAATTTCGCAATACTATTAAAACGAATTCATTTTCTTAATTATATGCTTGCCAGTTTAAGCAACACGTAACAATGTTCATGTATTTTAGTGTAAGCTGCACAACGATTTCTCACTAGACATAGCAATAATTGTAATATTTCTGTTAATTATTTAGCCAGGAGAGCCTTACCGAGTCCCAACTCTTTTCACATTTCGATCGGGATGTTTGGGAAATCCCATTCGTGACCATTTGGCTTCACTCGAGAATCCGGAGAATAGCCCACCGCACGTACGACGGGGTGACAATCAACACTTCGTGGCCACCACGCAGCAGCGCATACAACGCCTAGCGCTGCTGCTGTGCCACTGCCGTCGAGACCATTTGTGATGCGAGCGAGAACACAAGGTGCGCAAAACGGGTGGAGGGGACGATGACCAAACCCCAGACGACCTCACCTTGCCCTGGTCGATGGCCTTTTGCAGCTCCGCCATGCTGTCGGCCACCACCATGTGAGTGTGCAGGTCCGTGCTCGCCCTGCGCGCCGAGCACAGCACACGACCGTCATCCATCGTAAACGAGTCCAACTAAACGCCAGCGACCCCACGAGAGGGCGGCGGCAGTTCTCACACTCCGGTCCCCACGTTCCGAGCTTCCAGGTGATAATAATTGACAGCGTCTCATCGATCCACTTCTGGATGAAGGTCTTCCCACACCGTGGCAGTTATGGTATTCATTAACCATACTTCACCATGCTGGTTAGTGTGATTAGTGAAGGGGGATTTAGGACTGGTTCAGACATCACTTAGCGGTGGCTGGGAGTTGAACTTCAGTCGCTGGGTCCGGAGCACAGTGAGCTAGTCAATGCGCCACCACTTCACCTCCTCGTTCAAGTATCTAACGTTGACTTCTTTAAATGTCTACTGCGAGCATTAGTTTATTTGTGATGCCGTAACGCGAGAAGGAGCTTGGCAGGTATGTATGGAAGCACGTCACGTATTGTCTCATATCATAGATGCAATTCAGTCGGTGGAGGTTATGCATGCCTTGCACAAATATCCCTCTTGTGGCCTTTGTGGACTGATGGGGCAAGAGCTAATCACGAGTACCTCAGCAGGCGAGAATGGTGCGCGAGGGGGTGGTGCGTCTAGCACCACTCGAGACCGCCTTTGTCTGCTCAGTGCTGATGTTTTACACACCACACCAGGTACTCATTTTCGGCCAAACGGACTGGGGGAGACCCACAACAAGTTTCTGATATCACTCACCAATGGACAGGAGTTGAACTCAAGTCGCTGGGTTAATTAAAATAGTGAGTGATTCAGTGCTAACACCGAAAACAGTTGAAGGACGTTTTAGGTATAATGACCAGCAGCAACGGGGGAAGTACCGTCTGGTGAAGAGTAAACAAGCAACCAGAGTCACGGCAGTGGAGAAAACTGTACCCTTATCACTCAGATAAACACTGATGACTTCGCTTCTCAGCTACAATCCTACAAGTACTGGGTCAAGGAGAGAGCAGAGGAAGGAGCACGCCAAATGACTTTGCATAATGACAGTCAGTGTACAGCAATCAGTCAATTTAAAGCTAATTGTCAATGTGACGTTAATATTATTAAGCTGACAGTATAAAGCTACAAGTGTAAAGCTAACAGTCAGTATAAAGCTAATAGTATAAAGCTGACAGTATAAAGCTAATAGTATAAAGCTGACAGTATAAAGCTGACAGTCCCGAGGTCAGTGTTTCTCAACTCCAGACTTCACAACCCCCACCATACAGCTTTTCATGATTACCAACCATCCGTTGCATGCAGTGTGCAGTGGCTTCGTTAATGTACGCATTTTAAAGGTTGACAATGATGTCAAAGTGGACCCCCGTGGGATGGGTGGCAAGGACTGGGCAGTGGAGAGATGCCGCTTTTGGGTGTCGCTACAGGTGGGCACACGTACTTGGCGTAGAGGCTGCTCTGGATGTTTTCGAGCAGCTCCTTGATGAAGTCCACGGCCTGCTCCTCCTTGCGCACCAGCTTCTCGCCCGAGTCCCTCCGCACCGCCACAAACTCGCAGTTGCGCACGTCACGCGGGCCCAGCTCCACGCGCACCGGCACGCCCTGTGTGCAGCATCGCGGCAACGTCGACATCACCCATCAGCGCCACTGAACGGGGTGGAGCCAAGTGACGTTAAAGAAATGGACAGGAGGTGGCCAGGTGGCTCAGAGGTGAGATAGGCGAGCGGCACTGCTAACATCCTGGCATCGAATCCAAGCAGCTGCCTCCGATTAAACTGGCGTCCTAAGTGTCGTGTATTGATGGACTCAACCACCAATGACTGCACAAATAAAGACTATCATATTAAATCTGGTTCTGCATTCAATTTGGCTAAATTCTGTCTCTGAGGAAAATATTAAGCTGACCGTCATGCGGCAAACAGCAGGGTAGGTGATAAATTGCTACCTCCTCTCCTGTGTGGACCAGATGTATTTCAGTGGTATCCGCTTCCGTGGGGCATTTTCTTAACATGGATGGTTGCCGTGCTTTGTGAAATCTCAAAATTACCTTTTTGTCTCGTGACATGACACCGATATCATGATAGTGGATAACGTTTGGGGAAAAAAAAAACACTTTAAAGAGTGTATAGAGGTGAAGGGCGTGGGGGCTGGGAGGAAAGCACGGCACCTTCAGCTCCCAGTGGTTGAATTTCCAGCCCGGCGAGTAGTTGTCGCGCGTGTCAGCACGGGCGCGCACGCCAGCGTCCCGCAGCCTGCGCAGGTACTCCTCGCACTTCTCGTACAAAGTCTTCCGCTCCCCCTCGGCCAGGTTTACCGTGACGCCGCACGAGATGATCACCACCTGTATTGCGAGGTCGCAAGGAACCCCGCGGACAAAGTGGCATTCATCCCATCCCATCAATCGCACGAGAGGACTCGTCTTATTATCCCCTGTGTCCACCCCCCCCCCCCGGCTACATCTCTGGCCCAACACTCGGGATTCATAAATTTTAAATGTTTTACTTAGGCTCATACAATATATGCATCAAACCGCACAAGTCAGAAGAATAAATCATTGTGAGTTATGTCAATTCAATGCTTTTACAATTTGAAAAATAGTACAAACGAGGCAAATATGTATAAGTAAAAACGAGATAATAAAAACTGGACAAAAATAATAATGTTCATACGATCGTAACCTCAAATCGTGACAATACATTGAGTTTTTATCCTATGGAAAACTGGATGGAGCCAGTGTAGAGGATAGAAAGGTAACTGACACTCCATATTCTACCTTTACCCCACACTCCATTTTCTTCCCACCAGACCTGAGGTAAATTACAATTGTACTGTAATTGTGTCACTCATAATGAATGGAAATCACAATGTAATTGTAGCATCAGCCAGCAATGTTGCTGAAAGTTAATTATAATCAACCCCGGGTCACTCGCCGCCACTCCCTATGATGGTACCTGCAAGCAGGCCACGCGAGGGGGCACCACCAGGCCCTTGTCGTCCCCGTGAACCATCGTCATCACGCCAATGGTTCTCGTCGTGAGGCCCCACGAGTTCTGGAACGCAAAGGCCTTCTCCCCGGGACGCTCGGGGTCTTCAAACTCGACCTCGAACATCCGTGAGAAGTTGGTGCCCAGGTGGTGCGACGTGGCGCCCTGGATGACACAGACGCAATGAGCCAGACGCCCGTCTTGGGGGATGGCCGCTAGGCGGCAGCTCCAGGAGCCGGTGTGAGACGGTGTTTTGACTCCCACAGAATTCTCACCCCGGGATCAACGTAAAATACATTATGTGAACCACGACCGCCCCAAGCCAGTTTAGACCATTCTTATTTACTCACAGCTGTAATTATGTTATAGTCAATTTGCCTTGTACCTTAAGACAAACCAAAGCAAATTTGCACGTGGTTATATGAAACATTGGGCAAAAACCATAACCCTAACCACCGAACTCTAATCCTAACCGTATAAAGTATGCTCAACCTGCGGGGGAGCAGGGAGTCATTTTGATATTCTTGCAATTTGTATTTGTACCCAGGGGTTCAAACAATATAATATTCCGAATGTGGGAGCGGTCATTTTTGCACAGGGGAAGTCAAATCACAATAACAAAATTTGTACTACGATGTTGGGGTGGGGGCGGGTGTTCACACACACTCTACAGGAGTCAAGATACAATCTGATGCTGGCACGTGGATGGCACCAGGCCCGTTTGCGCGGGTGTCACGCGGCGCGTTAAACGGCCGCTCATCACGCTGCCCGCTTGCCTGGATGGCACGGCCGCTGGCAGAGATGAAGGCTTCCACGGTGGTCGTGTAATCGGCTCCAGCAAACTTCTCCTTCTCGGTTTTCTGTCCCCGCACGACCGGAATGGCCAGCAGCTTCTCATAGACGTCTGCATACAAGTCGAGGATCTGACGCACCTGCCGGGGAGATGCAAATGCCGCATCGTGAGGGGGGCGTGTGGCGCGCTCGTACAGAAAACACGCTCAACCGTGCTCCCATGCTGTGAGCACTGTATTGCACGTGCGTGCTAGGAAAATACACAATTTCATTAGTTAAACGTTACGTTAATCGTACACGTACTGAATTGAGTGCATAAGAATACATGCAGCTCATTTTCAATTTCTGAAAATAACATGCAATGGTTACATTTTTTTTAATGAGGTGAACGACGTTGTGCAAATGAGACAATGAAAATCAATATGAAGGATATAAAAAATAACACAAATATAATTATACATTTCTAAATCGGATCAACACCCCACATCCATATATCTAATTCAGCTGAAATCTCCTGTGAATCACGTGACCTCTTTGTGACCACCCCCACTCTGGGCCCTTCCTGCTGAATTAAGTCAAATCTAATAAAAGTCTAAAATCTGAAACCCCCCCCCCACTCTCCCCGACCCCTGTGAAAACAGAACCTGCTTCTCCATGCAGCTCACTTCTGCTTGTTCCTTTCTATTCGCTTCCTCTGCTCCCTTCCCTCTCATCATCATCACCGTCTAATCCCCGACATCTTTGCCCGGTCATTCCTTCTCCCCCTCCTCCCCTTCCTACCCGGCGATCCTCCCCCTCCACCCTTCCTGCTGCTCACCTTGAGCCGTGCCCTCTACGTCCGTCTTGGGACTTCCAACCGGGCAGCCCTTCCCTTTCCCGATCCTTTCTTTTTCCATGCATTAGATCCTTGAATCGACTTCCCTTCACATGGTGTGTGCCACGGTTGGACGTTTCCAGCAAGTTCCCGGAGTATCTCGGCTAACCCCACGCTGTTACCTTTGCCCCAGATTGGTTGTTACTTAACCGCGCCCGTACCCGAGATTCCCTTTCCAGGCCAGCAGGTGTCACCCCGTCATTACACTTGTATCAAAAGCTGCTCTTTGCCTTCCCCCCCCACCAGTGTGATGTAAGAACGTGTCGCTTATAACTGGTGGACTTATATCCAGCTACCACTTCACTACTCCTACCCCCCTCTGTGCGGAAGAGGTTGGGATTTGTTTGGATGCCATGGTGGCAAGATGTTATCTGCCTTGCCTGGTATGGAGGAGGTGGTGGGTTTGATTCCGACCCTGACACCTGTATATTTGGAGTTTGCATGTTCTCCCCGTGGTGGCGTGCATGTTTCTCCGGGTCCTCCAGTTTTTCCCTCCACATTTGGAAACAAGTTTAAAATTAAATTGCTATTATACGTTTGCACGTGATAAGCCACTTCGTTGAGCTATCATTTGTGGCCAGGTCGCTTCTGAAAAAGACCTTTCAAGCTTAGTGGGGGCCTAACCTGATCATAAAAAAGAAAGTAGTTTGTTGGTGGTGGAAGCGTAGGAGAAACCTCAATTTTGGCGTCCTTTGCATTGGCGTATGCCGTGTGGCCCTCCTGCCACAGGAACTCGCGCGTGCGCAGGAAAGGCTGTGGGTGCTTGAACTCCCAACGCTAACGATGCACACACACACGCACAGAAACAACAAAAAACATCAGCCGCCATCCGCCACTAATTGGTGGTGGCATCACTATTGTGCCTCTGCCAGGTTGGGTGCATTTCAAGGCCCTTTGGTGAAGGCTTACTGGCAGTAAGTCATGGGAGATACCCAAGTGTTTTGAGTTAAAAAGACCACATTTTAAACACAATAAGAATTAGAATCAAATATTCAATAATTTCAGGGCAAACCGAAACAATGGAGCCTTTTAACCTTAATCCTCAGGATAATTTTTTAATGACGCAACAGTGATTTCACAATGTTGTTTGTCGAGAACCAAGCTTTGAGATGGGTAGAGGTTTCGAGAGTTTGAGCAAGTTAACTGCTCGGTAGAGAGGGCAGACTCACCACCACACTGCACCACTGGTTCAGCTTGATGGGCAGATCCCGGTGCGACTGCACCCACTTCGCAAACGCGGGGTACATCACTGCCAAAAGAAGGAACGCGCGCTGGCATTACCGACCAACACGATTACATCAGGATTGACGCACGCAGCTCACACGCACAGCTGACAAGCAGCGGTGCACTAACGACGGCGTCTGTGCTGAACACCAAGTGATCCCATTACCTTTAGTGCTTTTTAACTACTGCTGCTCAATCAGTGTGCAAAGATTTGCCATCCACTTGCAATATGATGAATTGTCACGAGACATGGTGTCAAGATTCAAGATTTTTTTTTATTGCCATTAATCTAGTACCTCGAGTGCCTACAGAGATAACGGGAACCAATTCCATGCAACATGAATAATAATGTAAAGTTCTTGTCAATTAACTGCCGAACGATAGCTTCCCCTTGCTGTGTTTGGCCATATTTGATGAAGCTGATCAGTGCGGGTCAGTGAATGGGGGCCCAGATATCGCTCGCCACAAAAACGTTAGCCACGGTCAGGAATAAAAATTCAGATTGTCGTGTTCATAGTACAGTGTGCTAACCACGTGCTGGAATCATCGAAAGTATCCTGACCGCAATAATCTATTTTAATTAATGAATTGATGCAAAGTTAGAAGTCTATTGCTCAGCCAAAACGTTTTCAAGACGAATGGTCATGTGTCCAGTGGATGCATTTTATTTGATATGCAGTAAGGTTGGAGAGATTGATGACAAAAAAACAGACCTGTCTCGCTGGTTGGACGGATTGCTACAGGTTCTGCCAGGTCCGTTTTGCCTGATCTGGTAACCCATGCAACCTGAAGTAACAAATAAATTAAACAGTTATAAAACAGGGGAAGACATTTTAAGGTATTCTTATTCATTCCTGTAATTTTCTAATAATCACCGAGAGAAGACTTAAGCCTGTACCAGGGGACAAGCTACGTGCTGCACATCCCACAGTGAATCACTCTTTATTTATCCTAGAGAAATTCAAGGAGCTATGCAGCTCTATTCCACAGAGGCATGTCAGAAAGTTACAACAATACAAAACAATGAAAGGAGTGCAAAATATAGGAAGTATAATCAAATCAATAAAATAAAGAAACTACAACTAAACTCTGTTTTATTTCACTAGGTCAAGCCCACTGAGCTGTTAGTTTTTTTTTCAGAAGCGACCTGGTCAGATATGATAGCTCAACAAAATTGCTGATCATGTGGAAATTTACAGCAGCAAAATAATCTAAATGGTCCCCCTCCAGAGCACGACCCCGGAAGAACAACACATTGCTGAACCAAACGTATCAAAAATGAACCCCAAATGAAACCGCATCATCGTACATCGCAGCGCAGTCACTAGAAACGAGCTTACATTTTAGATGACTCACCTCGGGAGCGAAGTCTGCAATGTGGGATTTCTCTCTCTCCAGCGCCGCTTGGGACACCAGCATGGGGAAGTAGCAGTTCTCTACACCCAGCTTCATGATCTCAGCGTTGAAAAACTGCTGGATGGCCTCCCAGATGGAGTAGGCCCAGGGCCGCAGGATGTAGCAGCCGCTCACATCGTAGTACTCGACCAGCTCAGACTTGGTGATCACCTTCAAACGTGACGTGTCAATAACGACATTAATAATTATGAGTCGCCAGAGAAATTGAATGTAAATGGTGATTGAGGCACGCCATGGTGTTGCTCACTGGCTGAAATCACGTGACATACGTCACCGAGTTTGCAGAACGGCGAGCAAAACACTCCATAGCTGAGCGGTGTATTGCACACACAGGACAGCGATGAGTCCGAGATTCTTACCTGGGAGTACCATTCTGAGAAGTTTTCCAACTTTTTCACTTCCATGCCCAGTCTAACGTACACACACACACACACAAATGCACAGATGTGTCCAAAAATTTACCAATGTCAAAACAAAATGAACATTTGAGGGATGCCTTTGAAAAACGTTATAAGACACCAAATGTAATGGTCCATAAAGCAGGGTTTTTGTTGCAAGACTGCAGATTAAGTGGTGGATAAACTGTTAACTCAATTGAGCAGTCACCTGTCGGGAGATGATTCAATAACAAGAGGATTGGAAAGCGTTCCAATGGAGCTGGCACGGGTTATTATAAAACATATCTGTGGGTTATCACGTTTCCCCACCACATCCCTCATATAATGCCCATTACCATCCCAAAAACTGTATGGAATTGGTGATCAAATACAATTCCTAAAAAATAATAATCTATGATCAAACAAAACAAAGATCACCCAGTATAGCTTTAACAGACTGTTGGGGTAAGTGCTGTTAGCAAGCACCTATGAAGGCTGGCACGGCACACACGAGGGTGGGTGGCCAGCACCACGTCCAGCCGTCATTGTCTCTCTAGTGGCAATGTTTACACACCGCACCAGGTACTCATTTGAGGCCGAGTCGACCTAGGGAAAGCCCAGGACCATTTCAAATAATCCTCACCGGTGTTGGTGGCTGTGAGCGGGGAAATCGAATCCGGGTCGCCAGGTTCGTAGCGCAGTGCACTCACCGCTACACCACCGCTCAGACAAACAAACACTCACTCACCTGGTTTGTTTCTTGGGGCCATCGCTGCTGCTCGAGCCTTTGTCTTGTTCCTTTGGCTTGCTGTCCTTGCTAGCGCCCGCACCTTTGGGTAACACCTCCTTCTTCGCCTCCTGCTTCTTGGACTCCTGCTTCTTGGCCTCCTGTTTCTTGGGCTCCTGCTTCTTGGGCTCCTGCTTCCTGGCGCCGTTCTTGGCATCCCCGGTGCCGGCGGGTTTGTAATCGTGCCCCGTGGCCGCCTTGTACTGTTCCTTCAGCGCCAACAGCTGCTTCACAGCTGCCTCCACTTGCGCCTGAAGTTGATGGAAGTGACGTCAAGTGCATTCAACAATAAGTCATACTAATTAAAACCATCTGTCAAGCCTTTTGTAGATGAAGGCCACCACACTACACAAAATGTAATAATTGCAGACTTATCACAATGGTAAGCAGTAGATTGTCAGGCATACTATACATTTGTTATTCACTGAAATACTAAATTTAGAGTGAACTGAATTTATAGTGCAAATAAACATTTTGAAGAATTAAAATAATACAACTTCATTATTTTTCTCCATAATGCCTCCAACGAACACGCAAACACAGGCAGTTGCAACATGCGCTGGTCTGCAATATAATATCTTTGTAAACATGTTCATTTATGCAGCCGCTGGTAATTTCCCAGGTCGGGCTGCGTGTTGAGAACTTCTCCAGCGCTCACTTTGTGCTGCTGCAGAGCATTGACCCGTGAAGATCAGATTCAGAATATTTTCTATATACTGGAGGAATCCGATGAACTATAAAGCACTTTTCACAGATGTCCAGTAGATGCCCACAGCGGTGGTCGCAGCACGTGGAGAAAGCCCGAAAGAAGAAATGCTCAATGCGCAGCCAACCCACAAAACCACATCTGGAAGATAGGAGCTCTTAGCCGCAACTGCAGCTCTCTTTAATAAATGCGACTAGGTGAGGTGCCACAAAATATGGTGAACTAAATATTATGAGTCAGTCCGTTCACTTATATTTAATCAGGTAGGAGTATATTGCAGCAATACATTTAACCAATAAATATGTCATATCTAGAGGAGACACAAAACACATCCCCCATATAGCCTTAAATACAGCCGAGGCAAGTGCTTTAGCGAGCACCTATGAAGGCCAATACGGCACATGAGGGGTATGTGGGTGGCCCCAACCATGCATGGCTACCTTTGTTTCCCCAGTGCTGAGGTTATAACACTGCACCAGGTACACACTTAATGTCAAGTCAATCTAGGGGAGGAGGCCCAGGACCAGTTAAGATATTCGTCGCCGATGTTGGCCGTAAGCAGGAATCACACTCGGCTCACCGGCTTCGACACAAAAGACACACACCTTTTCAGCCTTGCTGGTTTTGAGCAACCTCACGGCCTCCCCCTGCTCGGCCACCTTGTCAAACAGCTCCTTGGCAAGGGCTCCTCCGTCCGAGGGACCTGCTGCTCCCTTCTCTCCGCCCGCCACCGCAGCCACCGAAGCCACCGCAGCCACCGTAGCCACCGGAGAAGCCACCGCAGCTACCGCAGCCACCGGAGAAGCCACCGCAGCCACCGCGGCAGGGGGAGCATCTGCTTTGTAGTCTTGTCCTGTCGCGGACTTGTACGCAGTCTTGGCAGCGAGCAGCTGTTTCACCGCGGCGTCGATCTCATCCTGATGAGCAGCAGGTGGAAAACGAAGGAGAAAGTGAGAGGCACAAGATCTAGAGGGCGACACCATGAAACAAGGTGCCACGGTGGTGAGATGTTAACTACCTCGCCTTATATACAGGAGGTTGTGGGTTCGATCCCGACCCCGATGCCTATATATTTGGAGTTTGCATGTTCTCCCCGTGGTGACGTGGATTTTTCTCCGGGTCCTCCATTGTACAACATGATGCCAATAGGACATTTTAATAGAGCATGGGGAATAATCAAGGATTTTTGAAAGCACATAATAAGTTCCAGCTCACCTTGGGAGCCTTTTTCCCCTTCAGCTCCCTCACTTTGTCCCCCTGCGCCGTCACGCTGTTGAAGAGCGCCACAGGGTCCGACGAGCCACACTGCTGCTCGGACGTGCAGTTCTGCGCTGGCGCTTTTCCCGGTTTGTACTCCTCCCCGGTCTTCGTCTTAAACTCCAACTTCAGCGCCAGCAAGGCCTTCACGGCCGCATCAACTTCCTCCTGTGGAAGCAGTGACGCAGTACAACACACCGGTGAGCTCACTCTGACAGAGCTCAAGCAATAAACTTTATACCTCACTGTGCAGACACTATGTTCATGGCGGAGCGTGGTTGGCATGGGCCTTGGCATAAGGAATGGATTTGGGGACCAACTCCCGCCCAATTTCCCCCACTACTTTGTAGCTGGGAGAGTGCAGGCCCATTCCACCCATGGAACCAGGTGCAGTTGCGACTTCCTGCACGCTCGAGAGCTACGGCACTGCACAGCGCATTTTGTGTGCACGTGTGCGTACGTCCGTTCATTGCGGTGCAGCAGAGGCCATCTGTGCCGCGTGCCGTGCCGGGCTCGTGCCGTACCTTGGCCGCCTTTTTTCCCTTGAGCGTCCTCACCAACTCCCCCTGCTCCGACACCAGCTGGTAGAGCCGTGCCGCGTCGCACGCCGGCGCTGCGTTGGGGGGGCACGATGCCACGGCCGTGCCACTCGGGAAACCGGCCGCCTTCTGCAGCGACAACAGGAGGACAGAAAGGGGCGCAGCACTGGCCCTTCAGTGGTTGAGCGAGCACTTGCTATTGGTAACTGAAGCACTTCTGGTTGTAAACTTTTATTAACCCGGTGGCGTAGTGTGATTGGCATTGGCCCGGATTAAAGGAAAGTAATGGGACTACTTCTCTCCACCTTCCTCCCTCTTCGTAACCCGGCGACTTGGGCCCTCTGGCCCGTGGGTCCAGGTGCAGTCGCACTGCCTGCACACTCGATACTGAAGCAACTTTTTCAACTGTTGCTCTACCCATGGTTATACCAATCGATCTTCAGTTAACTGCCTCTAGTCGTTTCCACAGATGAGCTCCGAGGTTTAGTCGAATTATTATGTTGAGTTATATATTGCTATATGGTTTTTCATTGAACTGGGACCCCATAGCGTAAGGGGGGGGGGGGGTCCTTGCCTTTAAGAATGGCAGTTCACCAGCATTGATTTAAGCAAGCCTGATGCGACACTGTAAGTCGAAACCAGTCCAAAGTTTGCTTGTCATAAAACAATGCTGCTGAAATTATAGACTCCCAGAAGGCCATGCGGTTGATTATTTGTGTAAGAAACACTTTAGTTTTTTTATGTGGAGACACCGATACGTGAAGGAGGTCTGCTTAAATATTTTGTACTGGTAGGAACCCACTGGTTCCACCAGCCCACAGGGAATTATTGTGTCCGTCCGTCGTGCAGGGAGGGGCTGGGTAGGGAGGGTGGGGCTGGGTGAGGATGGGAGGGTGGGGCTGGGTGGGGAAGGTGGGGCTGGGTGGGGGGTGGGAGGGGTGGGGCTGGGTGGGGAGGGGAGGGGCTGGTCACCCCGTGGTGCCCTTATAAAACTCAACGTTTAACCTACTCACGCCGGCTTGTGCCCGCCCTCACAGTCGGGCATATTTGCGGAATACACCACGCCGCCGTTGACGCTGGCCATTGACCGAGCAACCCAACGTTCCTACCAGCTCCCTCCGCAGGAGGAATGTGTAAAGGGCTGTCAGGTCGCTGCGGTGTCTCTCTGAAGCGTCCCCACCTCTTTCTTGCCAGCATCAGCCTTGCTCTTCTCCCTGGAGCCCGACGTTGGCATATCCTTGGTGTGTCCGTCAGGGATGTAGATGAGCACACAGGGAGCCTCCCTGCAGCTGTGTGGGCTGAAACACAAACATCTTCCGCATTGAGCCACATGTAATTTTGAAGAAAACATTTGTATAAGCATGCGTGATACGAAGAGTGATGTGGCCAGCACCACGCCCAGCCTCGATCACAGCTGCTTCTTCTCAATAGTACTCGCATCAATACACCACTGCACTCAGTACTCATTTTGGGCTGAAGAGACCAAAAGAACCCCCTGGGTAGATTTATAAACTGATTACCAAGTGTGCATTACCTGCAATTGGACCCTCGTCAGGCACACACATTGCAATATACACAAGAAAACACACATTCACACGTATAAGAGATGTTAATAAGAGTTTTTAACCATCCATCTCTCCCAAGTTTCAAAGACGTGTCGGATTCAGGGTGACAATTTAATACAGGAATCATTATCTGCCACTGTGGCGCACGGTGTAGAAGCTGTAGTGTGCAAGGACACCGATGTCCCTGAATCGGTCATAATTCTCATGCGCCCGACTTGATACCATGCATTGCGAGCCTAATATATGCAAAAAAAATCCATCAACTAATGCTTCGGCTCATGCTCATACATTAGCACACACTTACAAGTACAGCCCCCTTGTCAATCCACTGCTGGATGAGGGGCCTCCCCACACCGTATAGGTCTTTGGGGTTATTTGACCATCCGTCACAACATTGGTCAGAGCAGGTTAGTGGGGAGCATACATTAGTGCACAGTACAGTGACCCAACTACCCCCTGCTGACAATATAGACCCACAGCAGTCTGCAGAATCCATTCCACTGATGTCGGTTGCCCATCCAAGCATTATCCAGGTTAAATCCAGCTTAGCTTCTCAGATCTCACAAAATTGTGCACATTCTGGGTGGCTTCGTCATAGCCATAAAACAAGAACACATGCGTGCATAAAACCGTTTAAAAGTGCTGTCCTGAAGGCGGTGGTGGTGCGGTGTCTCTGCAAGGCTCGGCGAGCTGCACCTACCTGATGGTCTCATAGGGCTGGTCGCAGATGTAGAAGCCGCGTCGCTGCACCTGGATGATGTCGCCTTTCTTGAGCTCCGCCAGGCACGGGTCCCCAATCATGGCCGTCTCTTTCTGCACGCGCCCGCACACGGTGTGTCATGGCACGGACGTGGCCGCGGGGATGGAGAGGCACGAGCGGTTGGAGCGCGAAGCACAGGGTGTGGGCGGTGCGCAGCTTTGGGTGTGGAGCACTGACCACGAGGGTGTGAGACACAAGACAATGGGGGGTTCGTTTACAAAGTGTTTGAGGAATAGGGTCTTGGGTATAGAAGATGAATAGTGGGGCACAGCACATGGAGTGTGGAAAATAGGTCATGGTGTGTGGAGCATGGGGCATTAAGTGTGGATCACAGGGTATCGAGGAGGAGGGGTCTTGGATATACAACATGGAGTAATGGGACACGTGGCACAGTGTGTGCAACACAGAGCAATGTGCCATCGGTACAGGGCATGGGTAGCAGTACACGCGCACGCACATGGTGGGTAGCACGCGGGAAGAAGACGATGACGCACTTCGCAGGGCAGGGGGCGGGGGCCAGGGGGGTGCGGGTGCAACCAACCTTGCTGTTGCGGTTGATGAAGTCCTTGAAGTCGTCGTCCTTGCCCAGCACGGCCTTGGAGATAATGTGGTCGTAGTGGACACACACGGCGGGCGTGGCGGGGCCGCGCGCCGTCTCCGCCAGCCACGTGAGCTTCGTCGTGTTCTTGAAGTCTTTGTTGTCCAGGTTCAGCGCCGCCTCCACCGACGACACCGCGCCCGCCGCCGTCCTAAGCAAAGCCGCGGCAACAAAGCGTCTCTTGCAAATCGAGGTATTGAATTAACAGTATGGAAAGGGTAAAACGTGGTAGATTTTTGCAAATAGAACCTCTTTGCACCAATTTTGCCTCTGTTTTGGGAAACCTTTTGGATCAATGTGGCCAGTTTTCAATGGGGCAAGTCCCTTAGAGATGAACGGACGGACATAAACGCTTTCAACAGCTGGCCCGACAGCAATTATAAAAACAGAAATACATGATCAACTATAGAGCATCGTTGAGAGACTGAATACCGCGCGTTCACTCTCAATGCGAAAAGTTTGGATTTTGGTGCAGCGGCAAGGTGTTCCGCACCGGTGGATCTTGCCGATGCGGAGGTTCCCCCAGTTGATGAAGGTGACGACTTCGCCCTCACGCAGCGTCTCAGCGTCGGCGCCGTCGATCAGCACGCGCGGCCCATACCACACGGTCTTCATGCCGACCGCGACGTTCTGCCGGCAGCACACGCAAGGGCGACCCCGAGTCAATCCCAGAAGGTCACGGATTTGCTCGCTAAATTTCAGGGCAATTGGAGCCAGCAGTGGCATTTTCAACCATAATTAATGTAGTTGCCCGGATCTGGACAAATGTGTTAGTCTCCCTATAATAGGCAACTGGAACAGCAACGTCCACTCCGATGACACGAGGTTATGTAACTACCCAATGTTGTTGCGTGCTATGTGGACCAATCACTGTGCACTACATCATTTAGTAACAAACTCGGGTTTAATTGAAGTTACAGAACTCTGTCACTCATACCACGTTGCCAAAGCAAGTTGCAGTTGTTGTATAATAGGCTAGCATTTCGGGCTAAAACGGCAAACACCAACACCACTAGCCAGTCAAGGAGAGAGGCCGCATGCTTCTGTAACATGAGAAATAAGTGTAAAGCCACGCGGTTCATTTAACATTGAGCCTGTGTGACTGTAGCCAACAGTGAGGGGTGTCCGTCTTACCTTGGGGTGGTGGTTTAACATGTAGGCTTTCGCGACCAATATCATCCACAACACAGGTTTTTACCTTGGGGTGTTTGGGTGCATCCTTTTGCTCCTCCTGGGCCCCGGCCACAAGAACGGTGACAGCGCCCTCCTTCTGCAGCGCTGTGTAGCGCGGGGCGATTGGGTCGATCACCTGCACGCACACCGGCTCGCACGTCAGCCCTCGAAAAATCGGCAGGGACTCCCACACACGATGAGGATTTTCAGCTTCCCTTAATTGTTCACAAGGGGCAGATGAACTTTCTTAACAGTACAAGAATCCCTCTGATTATCTATGGATGCCATATCATGATGCTTTGTAATTTTTCCCCAAATCGGCACTGAACGTACCAAGACCCTGTAATGTTCATTATAATTATCACACAGAGAAATCCACTGCTGGATGAAGGTCTCAAGCCATCACCATCTATAGCTTCTGCACACAAGCTGATTTAATTGCTCCGTCTCTGCAGTAGATGTCCTTTTGGGTATGTTCCCTCCTTCAACTGCCACTGGGTCAATATTTTCGATCCCCAACCACCTTTCGGTCTTCTTAACAGTCTGTCTGATGGGTTTAGGATCGTGTAATGTGACAATCAATACCGACGTTAACTTAAGTGAAGTTGCATAATACCCTACTCCAAACAATGAGAATAGAACAAGCAGGTAAAGTTGGCATAAATTCCACGTGGCGATGACGTCAGTGAAGGGGTGATCAGATGGAGAGCACACAAACGCATTCCACTATGTGGCGTTTAAAAGGAGTTTCCCACCCTCTGGTGTTTACCCACCTTCTTGTTAAAGGCCCAGATTTTGTCCCATTCCATGTTCACGACCGAACGGGAGGAACCCTGCGGGTAAAAGGAGAATCACACGTGCGGTGAATACAAAAGCAGTGGACTTGCGTCCGACCTGGCATGACGACGAATCGATTTCAACAACTGGACTAACAAACGGTAGTGTCTTGTAATTTCATTTTGTTCATAAATCAGTATTGTGCCTCATGTAGCAAATTGACTTCTCATGAAATTATTAAACATTTATCCAAAATAAGTTATTAATGAAGCTAAATGTGATATGCATTTAAAGAACATAAGTTCGAAATTATACTTCCCAAAACAATGTGACCATAACAAATGGGTTTTAAAGTTACATCCAACGGGAAAACAGCTGAAGATGTGGACACACCCCTTAGCCAGGAAGTGCCGTATTCTAAAATACTTTGCAAAAAAGGAAAATTTATATAAGCGTGTCAGGTCTGGCGCACACGGTGATGCGGACGATGTTGTCCGCGTAATGCTCCATGCAGCACGTCATGCGACAACGCAAGGCGTGTCGCGTGTGGTACCTGGGCGGCAATGAACTGCTTCAGGCCCTCCACGGTGAGGCCTCTCCTGAGCACGCCCCGCACGGTCGGGAAGCGGGGGTCATCCCTGGGTGGGACAATCGCATCAAATCATCCTCCCGCAGCAACAGTAACAATAACACTTTGGATTGACGTACAAGTACCATTGTAACATTGTTTGGCAATACGTGTAGCGGCAGAACAGTGTGACGCAATAGTCTGTACCGAAAAACTCAGTGTAGCCTTTAAAGTATTTTATAGATGCACTGCTGGATGAGGCCCTCCCCACACTATGGGGTTATTTGATCGTACTTAAGTATGCTGGTCAGTCGGGGTTGGTACAGGCCAAACAACATATAATGACACAATGCCCGATCCCCACATAGGAAGGCGACATCACAGCGATACACTCTGTTACTCCTGTTGCGGTTATCTGGCTTTACCACCTGAATGTGAAAATGTAATTTTTGCTCTGCATCTACATCCGCCATATGAGAGAAGAAGAAGGGGTTGAGGAAGGTAGGGAGCATGTTTGAGTACAGTACAGTGGATGTTTCTGCAATGCCCTCTGCTGTCCACAATATAGCCCTGCAGCAGTTTACAACACCTGTAAGGATGAATGGAGCGAACTCATACAAGCACTTTCCTCCAGGCCAAGCCTCACTTAGCTTCTGAGATGTGATGAGACTGGATGCATTCCAGGTAATTTGGCCGTCGAAATTGGATTTAAATCATATCTAAAATGCAACCGCATCTCAAGAATTAGTTTAAAAAATTGTGGGACACACACATTCTGGGGTAACAAGGAAAAGTGAAGTGAGGAAATAAACAAATGATTTGGGGAAGGGGTAGTGCAGTGGTTCGCGCACTGCGTTATAAATCCAGTGACCTGAGATTTATTCAAACAAGTCCTGGGCACTCCCTACTCCACTTCACCAACTCGCACTGACCAACGTGGGGTAGTATGATCAAACAACTCTTGATGACCAGCACGGTGTGGGGAGGCCTTCATTCAGCAATACATTAACAAACGATTGTAAATGATAAATATGATAGAAGTGGGATTATGATGATGATGATGATAACAACAATGATGACATGCTATGGAAAAAACGCAACTTTTGACAAATCTATCTTGACAGAATCGGTTGGGTCAGCAGATGAGCAAATTATTGAGTCGTTGAATAACCACCGCGGGGAGACAAGGCGACGGACAATCACTCACCAGCCCTCCACGAGTCCCTCCTCCACGAACCAGGTGAGCTTGCGCTTGGACAGCACGGTGTTCATGAGGTTGAGGCGCGCGTACGCCCACACGTACGGGCGCCGCAGGCCGAGCGACTCGATCACCCAGTAGAACTGGTCGTCGCGATCGTGATACTCGGTGGTGCGCAGTGCGTGCGTCACGTTCTCCACGCTGTCCACGATGGGGCACGCAAAGTCGTACGTCGGGTAGACTCTGCGGCCGGGAGGGGGGGGGAGGTCGATGGGGCGGCGAGATGGTTGTTACGGACGGAGAGATAGCGGCATCGCCACTGTAGAACCTAACCACATGACTCGTTTTTCTATGTATTTACTCCACTCTCCAGAATATGCTTAATTGTTAATGGCGAACTGTTATTATTGATTAACGTTTCTATCATATTTAGGATTCTTGTGGATCATTTACTGTATTGCTTTATTAAACGAATTACTGGTAGAGAGAGACACGGCTCACCTGTACTTGCTCCCGGTACGTGGGTGTGGTTCGTTCTTGCAGCGGTAGAGAGTGGGGTCGCGCATGCAGCCGTTGTTGGAGTTCATATCGATCTTGGCGCGCAGGCAGCACGTCTGCCCCAGCTCTGAGCCCTTCTTCATCTCCTCCCACAGCTGCAAATTCTTCTCCACCGCTGCACAGACAACACCACTGCCGTCGTCACCACCACTCCAGAGGTACAACCGCCATGATGATGAAAATTATCATAGAGAATATTAATTTAAATGAGGCAGCTGATGTTCATGTTAATCAGCGGTCTCTACATCACATGGGACGTATTTGCTCGGGGTGAAAGAAACCAGCATTTTGTAAGAATAGGCGAAGTGAATTAAAAAAAGCTAATTTTAAAGTATTCCAACGAAGCAATCTTAAACACACATATATGGGTTATCACATTGATTTCAAGGACACCCCTCAATTGGCCCAACATCCCCACACCAGACCGAGCTGTGAGACTAGGTGACGACATTATTGGTGTGTTATTCTGCACTGTGATAGAGGCGGAAAATCTCACAGTTGCTCCTGTTCTTGGACTCAACGCGCTGCTCCCGCTCCTGCTTCATGAGTTCGGCCGGCGTGTCATCCACGTACGCCTTGCCCTCCTTGATCAGCTTCTCGGCGTACGTGGCGATCAGGTCAAAGTGGTCCGACGTGTAGGTGAACAGATCGGGCTTGATCTTGAGCATTGCCACGTCCTCCAGAATCACCTGGTGGCCACGGAGCAGGAGAGAACAACAACAGCAGCAATTTGAGTTGATAAGGCAACTGCATCTCAAGCCGCTCAACAAAAATAAAAACTACATTTTGGTAGAAAGGGAGTGGGATGGGGGGGGGGTGGTCAATGGAGGGAAACACGGGAGGGAGGGAGAGAGAGAGAGAAAGAGCAACACGGCCCAGAACCAAGCAACCAGGCTTGAGCACCAGCAACGAGTCCTAGGGACAGCCGGGGCAACCAGGGCAGCACCAATGAGTCTCAGGGCATCCTCAGCAGGCCATAGACCAGGACCCATACACCAACGAGACCCAGGGCATCCCTCTATGTCGTGCTCCTAATAATAGCCCGAAACGTAATGGTAAGTTTAACCCCAACGTTGAATCCTTTAGCAAAACTCTAACCCGAATGCTAAACCCTAACTTCATGGCTTTTCACCGAGAAGTTGCAGAGACCGAGTAGAAGGTAGGGAAATAAATGAATTGGCATGTAACAATTAATCAATTAATTAAAATACATTATTTTACTCTCAATTAATGCGTAGAATTGTGCATACAATAATCAACTCTTCATTATTTATGCAAACACAATCCATTCAGGTGAATGAGAGAACGAGACTATAAATTATACGGGGGGAAAAATATTGATGTCAGCTTCCCTACTCTCTTCACAGTGACCACTCTAACCTTCTCAAAGTCCTCCTTCTCCTTGGCGGGGTTGGTGTCGTCGAAGCGCATGATGAGCTTGCCGTTGAACATCAGCTGGTAGTACTGGTTGAGGAGGGCGGCCTTGGCATGGCCAATGTGCAGGAACCTGCCGAGGCAAACCCACAGCGTATGCACTCGCAGGCACAAGACGCACAACCTCCATCACTCGGAATGCTGAGAGGCATTTTACTTAAGAACGTATATGATGGTGTTGAGGATGTTCAGAATGATGATGATCATCATTACAATGATGGTTATCATGTTGATGTTCATGATGATGATCCTAAAGAAAATGATCATGATGATGATGCTTATGAACATGGCTACGCTGATCATGATGGTAATGATGGCAACGATTGTGGTCATGATTATATATGAAAATTAATTATTATGATGATGCTTTCATACCCGCTGGCCTCCGGGGGAAACCTCACGACCACCTTGCCCATCTCAGCGCCCGGGAGCTCCACAAATTTGCCCACGTCCTCCTTCTTCTCCTTCCCCTGTAAATCGATAGTCACCGTGAAGCAGCCTCCTTACACACACAGTGATACCTCGGTTCACGAACGCTTCTGTTCACGAACAACTCGGTTCACGAACGCTTCTGTTCACGAACAACTCGGTTCACGAACAGAAAAGTTCATAAAAATTTGCTCCGGTTCACAAACTCCGCTTCGGTTCACGAACAGGAGCCGCGGCCATTTTAATGCTATTTCCAGGCTGTCTACATGGTCGTGACTTCCTGTAGGAAGATCGTGGAGAGAAGAAGAGACACAGAAAGAAGTACTGTGAAGACACTTTTAGTGACTTTTTGCTTTTTGGTGTGCTTTTTAGCACATACAGTACTGTACTACTGTACTGTACTGTACAATACTGTACTTACTGTATTGTACAGTTCACCCGTTTGAGTGCTTACTGAAGTCATCTCAAGCAAGGTTAGTGTTCTCTCTTTATACATTACTATACTGTACAGTACTAATGTGTATTGTAATTTGTTTCATATTTTTGTGCTTCAAAAACCAAAAAAAAAGGTCAGAACGGATTAACCGGATTTACATTGAACCCTATGGGAAAATGTGCCTCGGTTCACGACCAATTCGGTTCGCGACCAGAGTCAGTTCACGAATTAAGTTCGTGAACCGAGGTATCACTGTACATCTACCAAATGCCCCAGACAACCAAAGCACATTAACAGCCCTCTTTTCAATCCACTGCTGGATGAAGGCCCCCCCGACCTTACTCTCAAGGAGGTTGCTCACCACGATTCACCATACTGATCTTTGCAGATTTGTGAAGGGGTGCCCAACACCAAGGTTAATAAATCACTTACCATTGGTGTTAACCGTGGCCAGGAATTGAACTAAGTTCACTGGGTTCACAGTGCAAAGCATTCACTATTGCGCTAACACTTTAGCCCCTGCATCTACTGAACATATCCTGAAGTTGCCGAGGCATTAGGTGCCCTGCCGTTTCAGCCTACGGAAGAAGACATAATTGTGAATTTCGCAGACACAATGACTTCAAATTACCCATAACGCACCTGATATCATCAGATCACGGAAGGAAAACAGGATTAAGCCTATCGAGTACTGAGATAGGTGAGCACCAGGCATAACAAATGTTATAGGCTGCAGGAATACGTCGTCAGAAGCACAGGGCAGTGCAGCAAATGTTGTCAAGTACAGTACTTCTATGTGCTCCCCACCGTCACCAACACACACTGGCCAGTCTGGTGAAGCATGGTCAGAAAGATCTTCATCTAGCAGTGGAATAACAAAGTAACTGTGCAACTACCACAACTACTACTACTCACTCCCGGGGCGGCAGAGGCGCTGGTGGCAGCAGCAGCAGTGGGTACGCAGCCCTTGAGGTTCCACGCCTTGGAGACGGCCTGGAAGGTTGCGTTGGCAGATAGAAAGGCAAACCAGCGTGCCACGTGCGTGGACGCCTTCTTCTGATCCAGCATCACCTGCCACATGTTGTTGCCTGCCACAGGACAGAGCCAGGATGAGAGGTGACGTGTTAAAGCTATTTTTATTACGAATAGAAAACGACCAACACCGAGCCACACTCGCAGACTTGGCAGCATTTATAGCCCCCTCCTCAAATCCTGTTTTTCATATCCATTGGACTAAACAAGTCGACGTGGCAGCTGTTGCAGTGGTGTTATTTATCCCGGCTCACTTATAAACAATTGGATATTAAAATTAATGTTTGTTTCTGGGCCGGGGATTAATGTGTAAACTGTATATTTTGTTTACCGACGCCCTTGGACATATGTAAAACTAAAACGACGGCGTGGCAGTGTCGCACACCTTTCAACGCGGCCCACACACTGATGTCGGCCAGCGAGAGGGCATGCCCGACGAGGAACGTTCGCAGTGCCAGGCTCTCATCCAGCTGCTGCACAGCGGCCGAGAACGAGGTGGTGCCGCAGAGCATGGTGGCGCCAAACTCCAGCCAGTGGTCGACCTGCACACAGCGACCGGCACAGGCGCTTGTCAAGTGCCTCGCGCAGAGTGGACGTGTAATAATTCTACCCCCCCCCCCTCCCTGGCCCCAACGAGTCGATGAATTTACACGATTTGATGAATTTTGCGATTCTATTAAATGTCGGGATTGAATGGATTATCATTTCGATTTAAAGCTTTCGTGACTGCAGGGATTCATCTTCTTGGTTCTTTTGGTAAAGTCACGTAGAAGGGAAATAATAAAATAATACAAATAAAACATAATAAAATAATTCTCACGACGTTTCGGCCACAACGCAAGCAGCCGTCCTCAGGTGAAGGTCTGTCGGAAAGACAGCGTCTTCAGTCTTCAGACGCTGTCTTTCCGACAGACCTGTTCTTCACCTGAGGACGGCTGCTTGCGTTGTGGCCAAAACGTCGTGAGAATTATTTAATGTTTTATTTTTATTATTTTATTATTTCCCTTCTATGTGACTTTACCGAAAGAACCAAGAAGATGGATTATCATTATGTGGGGATGCAGTTTCACTTTGGAACAGATTATTTTTTCGACTCATCTTTGGCATTTCATTTGTATTGTTTCTTGGTTATTTATAGCTCGTTTATACAGTTTTGTTAGATTCATCATTCTGTACGTCGAAATTATTTCGCACCGTACATAGCCAACCGAGCTAATTGGAATATTAGCATCACAGGTTACTGACTGGGCAATTGTAGATGCTGCCATTACCTCTGTCTGTTCCAGGAGGTTTGCCCCATACAGCCCATGGCTAGGGCTCTGACGTGCGATGAACCGGCAGATGGAGTTGGGGTCGTTGAACGTCACACTCCTGCCAAGAAAACGAACATTTTGGTCACTCATGTGTTTGTTTCAATCAGTATTGATCAACGTGGGTGCGGAGCGAACATTTTGAATGGAGCTCAGGTGGCAACTCATCTTGTGATTGCGCTGGATAGACACATTCACTGCATTACCTTCCCCCAAATGTAAAACTACCCACAATGCCACTGCCACAGTGAATTACAATCTAATTGCATAACTAAGGACCATAATTTTTCCATAGAATGCATTATATTTGGGGTGGAACAGTAGAACACTGCTCTATGAACCCAGCGACCTGAGTTCAATTTGCAGCCAGTTAAAATAAGTGGTGAGTGATATCCGAACTGGTCCTGGACCACCCTTCAACAACCCGCACTAATTAGCATAGCCAAACATGATCAAACAACCCCCATGACCCATATGGCATGAGGCCTTCATCCAGCAGTGGACTGCCAAAACACATGAGGTCTTGAAAGTCCTAACTTGATTGTGACACAACCAACCAGCTATATACACTGGGAAAATGTTATTTTACCTAGAAGATAACCATTAGAAAGATCTGCAAAGGCATGACATTACCTCACTTATATTTGGGAAACATTTCATTTGTGCATTCTCTGCTTTAGGACTTAACCAGTGACGAATGAATGATGAAACCGACTAAAAGTAAAAAAAAAAATTAAAGATTTTTACACTTATCTGTGTTATGCCATTTCTGTATGATTCGAATCATTTTTATAGTCAAAATCGCCAAATTTGCGGAGCTCCGCTGCAAATACAGGAAGAGACGAGAGGTGAGGCAGCGACGAGCTCAGCCTCCCCTCTGATTGCGCAACCCCTCAGTAACTGGATGGAGCACGGGCAATAAGCGCGTGCCTGTTACTATCTCTCTGTATGCCACCAATGTAATGATTACATTGGTGACATACATGTAATAATTACATTGGTGACATACTTTTACTATAAAAATCATTGGAATCATACAGAAATTACATTTATAATACAGATCAGTGGAAAAATCTTAATTGTTATATATTTTTTTACTTTTCGTAACAGCAATTTTCATTGGAGTATGACAGGTGAGGCTCTGCCTCCCCTGCCTCCCCTGACCTCACGTCCCTGCTACACATCCCATATTGTAATTAACCTGCTTGTCTTTGTTTTAGTCCTGGACACTTACTCGGACACCCGGAGGCTCGTTTCCTGTCCTCGCACCACTGCAATGAGCAAGGAGTCCTTCACTTGCTCAACAGCCACCAGCACGCCTTGAGTTCACAAACGACAGCACGCACAGACCGAGTGATCGACAGGCAGCAGATGAGGCACAAGAACGATGATGTCATCTCAACATGAAAAGAATGCTGCAATGCTCATTTGCCAATGAAGACGTTCGACATTTTTGTGTATTTGAGCAAAACTTTTGGTGAAACAATCTTAGCAGTACACTCCAAGGTTTGAACCCCCCCGAGGTATTCCTGAGTAACTGACTACAAAACTTCTCTATAAGATACGTGCACAGGCGTATGCAAAAGCAGCCTGCATCGTTAAGACACACTGTACTACAAAGTACAGAAATGGGGCTTAAAAGGAATACATCATGATTCGTCACTGGGCCAATTTCATGTATAATTTGGTGATGGTGCTGTGTTAGCAGTGGTGCACGAGCACAAATAACAAAAACTACTCATCACATCGGTCAACTTTGCCTTAAAAGAATAAGTATATTCTAGACGACGTTTCGGGCAATGGTCCTTTTCTTCACATCACATAGACAGGCCAAATGTGAAAGTGATGTATATTTCATAGTGTCGAATTGAAAATGGTAGGTTCTGAGTTTACGGTGCCATGTTCATAGCACGTACGTGCATATCAACACAATTCGCACAAACTTACAAGGACGTGTTTTACTCAGGTCAGCTGTTTATTCATGTACCCTTACACTGTAGTTTGAGGAAACAGTCCAAATGCATGTGTGGCCACAATGTTTCACTTCTCTGCAGACACGGGGCATGGCTGTTAAGTTTTCTTAAGTGACATGCCTAAGAACTGATGATCATCGCTTTCAAAAGGAACAGCTGTGAGTGCCAAACGTCTTGTCTTTTTGATGAATTCACTTAAACCACGTACACAAACCCTTCACAATTGCATGGCCCATCAAATGGCAGTGTCCCATGGTCTGTAACTTCGGGAGCCGCCTCCACTCATCGACAGACAGGAATTCACCAAAGTGGCTCAGCGTCCTGTATTGGGTTTTTTTTTCTCTCCCCCAAAAGTATTTTATTAACAAGACGTTTCAGGTACACACACGGAGGATATGAAGGGAAGTTGACACCAGCACATACACAATACGGATTACAGTCCAATGGAAACCTGTCGAAACCGCATGTTTCAATAAACTGTTTCAATAAACTCGAGAACGTTGGTGTCTTCCTAAGCTCTGATACCCCTGTAGGAGAAAGGTATCAATTAAGAGGGGGACGACCTAAATGCCCTAATGAATGATCTTAAAAAAGCAATGCCCACTGGAGGAGAGAGGTAGTGATCGGGTTCCATGTTTGGTGGCAAGCTTCCTCCTCGCCGGTTAGGTTGGCATTCAAGATGCTCTAGAGTGGCAATGTTTGACAATGTATTGGCCCATTCATGCAGTGCTGGGGGAGCATGCTACTACTTCCAGTTTGACCATAAAACACCATCGGTTGAGCAACAACACAATGAAACAACATATTCGTTGCTTTGTGCGTTGAGACGGTGGCGGGCGGGGGATGATCCCATAGTTTATACAGAGTTGCTAATTGTCAATAACAGCCGGCAATCTAAGATATTATTTTTTAACCAAGCCCTAAATTTGGTGATGACCAGGAATGATGAAGAGGATGAAAGTGGAAACCGTTTCAGAGTTTTCTTTAACAGAAAAAAAGCTGCTGGATGATATTGCCAATTTATTCAAGAAACTCTTTGGCTAAGAAGTGTTTTGTTTCCACGTAGCCACACAAGGCAATTGGGTTTCTGTGTAGTTGAGAAGCTGAACAATCAGGTTTTTGATCAGGTTGGTTCCCTCAGCGTTGAAACCATTTATAATTTTACATACGACGCTTATTATCTCTATGCAAAAATTAACTTTAATGACATGTCACAGCTTGCTACATGAAGGCTTTAGTGCAAAGCGTGATGCCGTTGTTGTTGCTGCACTAATCTTAGTGAGCCTCAAACAAACATTCAGTGTTAAATACTGTATAGAGTTAAGTATAATATACATACTTTCATGGTAAATTGATGGTGACAGCGGTGTTGATGATGTTAACTCTGATGGGACACTGGTGGTTGGTGAATGAACATGGCATTAGTCATAATCGTATTTAGTAATCGTGAAGATGTTATTGATATCCTCGCTAATGATGTTGTTTCGTGATGACGACGGCAGCAACAGCAGCAATGTCCACTTCAGCAGCGTCAGTACCAGCTGCTGCAGATACTGCCGAGCACATCAACGATGAGCCCAAAGCCGACGATGCTGCCGATGACGATATATACACAAAACCACGAAGTGACCAACTTTGAGGGCCGGGTGCACTAACAATTATCACGTCAATAAGAACAATGACAGCTGTGATGTCCCCCCCCCCCCAAACACACTCCTTCCCACCCAACCTATCAACCCGTCACCAAACCCGGTTGTCCGTGCTGGCTCAAAGGCTCCTCACCGGCAGGCGGGCTCGCCTCGTTCACCACGAGCTTCAGCTGCATGTCGACACGAGCGAGGGGACACGACGGAGCCACACGAAGGCAGTCTTCACAGCAGCAGTAGTAGCAGCAGCAGCAGCAGCGGCGGCCTCGTCCTGCTCCTCGTCCACCGCCTCCGCTGTCGCAGGCCCGGGCCACGTTGTGCAGAGACCCCGGCGAGAAGGAACCTCCTCCCCCCCCCAGTTACGTCACTTTTCTGAGACGAATTTACAGCGGCCATCTTGGGTAGGGAGACTTCTTCCACCACCCCCGCCCGCGTGCGCGTTGATGACGCGAAGGGGCGTGGCGCTGAGTGGGTGGAGGCTGCCCCCCCCCCGCCCCCCGCCATCCACCCCTAACGAGTTCTCTCCTTTACCAAGATGGCGAATGGGATGCTCGCTGCTAAAGTCAACGACGTCAACACCAGGTGGTCCGTGGTGTATCGATTCATATCGATTAGAGACCAGGGGTCGGCAACCAAAATAACAAGAAGAGCCATTTCTTTCCAATTCGGTACAAAATTCAGTATTTCAAGAGCCGCAATGCATCTGAGTACATACGTACTCATCGTCAAGAAGCAGCCCGTAAAGAGCCGCATGCGGCTCCGAGGCCGTAGGTTGCCGACCCCTGGATTAGACGAAAACAACGTCCCCCCCCCCCGGTGTAGCCTGTAACAGAAAGTTCTAAAATTAAGACTGTAACAGACTGTTGGGGCGAGTGCTGTTGGCGAATGAAGGCCGGAACGGTACACGAGGGGGTGGGTGGCCAGCACCACGCGCGACCGCCTTTGTCTCTTACCAGTGGCGAAGTTGACAACACCGCACCGGGTACTCATTTGAGGCTGAGTCAACCTAGGGGAGGCTCAGGACCGGTTCACGTAATCGTCACTGATGGTGGTGGTGGCCATGAGCGGGAATCGAAAGGTCTGCGCTAACCACGACGCTACCGCTCCCCCACTCTCTATAGGACCGCACATACACACGTGTAGTTACGATTGCGTTAGTATTACACTTGCTACTGTTCGTGTAGTTACGATTCCTTTAGTATTACACTTGCTATTGTTCGCTTGTTTACCCATGAAAGTATCACCGAGTCCCAAGACTTGTCTGTCGAAGTCAATTTGCGGTGTCCTCTTTCAAACTTGGGTACATTTGGATCGCACATGGCGTGGGTGCAGGCGAATGTGTTGCTTGAACCTAAGTTAAAGTTTTATTAAGCAAGGCATATCCATCTTATACCGCCTGTGTGTGTGTCATTGCACATTGCAGTTGCATGTCAACGTGTCATGATGCAATCCAACAACCAACGACGAGGATTTCACGATCGTTGCAACAACGCAATGAAGGTGTAACGTCACTAATGTGTACCCTGGTGGATCGATGAATCTACAATTTGACTGGAGACACGGCTGTGATGAACCTGTACAAGCTTAAACAATTACCGTCTCTACCTTATTAGCACGTCGGCGTTCGCGACAAATGATTCGTAATTTAAAAGGTTGCTAAATTGGCTGTGTCCGGTGGTGGCGGGTTTAACGACACATTCACTCGATCTAACCCAAAACAGCACCTGTATTATGGATTCGTTATTGATTTTGGGTCAGATCGCATTCATGTGTCGTGCACCCTCCACCCAATTAATATCACGTGAACAAACGTGCCAATTTAACACCAATGTGGCCTTTAACGTTCCGTGGCCAGTTAGACAGAAAAAAATCGTCTAACGTGATTTTGTGCTCTGCCATGTACTTGTCTTTCAGTGACACACGAATTATAAAGTTAACTGAAGGTGTTTAATGAAACTGTCTGCAGGTAATTAAACCCAATGAGCTCCCTGGAAGAGAAACTGCGAACCTTTCTAACTGGGCGACCACCTTAAAATAAATGATCGACGGCAAAATTTGCTTAGCACAACTTGCATATGAATTACCATCATCATCGGTCAATTTCATGGCTTAATTGCCGAAGACCTGTCCATAATGTAGCCAACGCTCACGGGCTTTACGTTGAGAAACAATGTCCAGTGTAATCGAGACGGCCAAACAGAGTCCCGTATTGGGAGTGAATTCAGCTGGTTGTTGCCCTAAATTCAAGGAATTTGGTGATTAAAAGTCACGATGGTTATGCATTGTGAAGAATCCAGTGATGCAATGCGAGAGTAATGTGTGCAGAACGCCGCCCAGGGTCTCGTTAGTACACATTATGTACACATTGTGTGGCGATAAAGTTTTACAACGGACAAGTCAATTGTGTCTCACCGTCGTTTCTTCAAACACACGCAACATTATTTGAAATGCCGTTTTAAAATGCATTTTCAACTTTATTTTTGCACCAACATCAATTTTCACAATCCCACAATTCATTCTCGTTAACACATTGGTCCACTATTCTTACCTCAAGCATTTAATGTAGATTGAAAATCAATGTTTTTTTCATTAATTAATTGGACAGCATTAAATGTGTTCGCCAAAATTCGAATATAGTTCTAATGTGAAAATGAACAGATGCATCCTTAAACTTAATTGGCTTGTGAAGACACCTGTATGGCTTAACCTTTATGGTTCCTGAAAGTTTATAATAGAATTTTGAGACTGCTTCAAACCAAGCTCACCAACAAACTCGTAACAACTTCACTAAATTAACAATTACAACAATAGCATTGCCAATATCACAACCACCAAAACAGTTTGTAATACAATACATTGAACTTTTAAACAGTTCAAACTGAAAACAGGCAGGATAACTTGCCCAGACCTGCAATTCAAAACGAGTGAATCGTATGGCCAGGTTTGTGTAAAACGTGAGATCAGGCTGGTAAAAATCCAGGTAACAATTTACCACTCAACAATTATGTCAATGAATAAGATGAACTGTTACGATTCAGGATCAGAATTTGTTTTGCTATTGTGGTGATCCAATCAAAATGCAAATGCATAGAAATAATAGATTCCTACACAATGTACTGCTTGTATAATGAGCTTAAATTCACATGTATGAATGAAACGTATGCCTGGTCAAAATGCAGTGGTTCAAAGGCCATACGTGGGCATCCAGGTCGCACAGATTAAGAAGCACACCTGTCTCACGCTGACAGAAACTTATAAAAATGCATAAAGTAACATCCCGCCAGGCTTGTAGCATAAATATATTCCAAATGATCCAGTGCATTGCACACTGGATTTTTAAATAGAAATATGAGAAACTACTGCACCTATACAATTACATATTGTACCTTATGCATTCGAAAAAAATGAAGGCCTGGTCTTGCACGCATTTTTTTTCTTTTGCAACGAGGTATGCGTTTCTTCATCTCAAAGATTTGACAAATATTTCCTAGCTTGAATAAATACCACTTATTCGAGCAAGAGTTAAACTGAAATTAGATGCAATGTTTTCACATTAATCAGAGAGCTCATCAACGCAAGTTCACTTTACGTGCCAAGCTGCTCTCGCGGCTGGGTGGTGTCAGCTGCCATGTAACTGTGCGACATTCAGCGTAGGAGGTGTCGTGTCACCATCAAAACCGCGTCTCGCGCGGCAATGTCAGGGCTTCAACGCGGCCTTTGTGGTGGGCGGCACGCGCGCTGCATAGTACTCGTAGTCTGTGAGCGCCGCCAGCACCCCCGCTGAATTCATGTGCTTCACCTCCTTGTGGTATTCGAAGGAGTTGCCGTGCATGTCCGTTAGCTTCCCTACATGCAGACATGCGAACAGCACCAACACGCTTACCATCAATACAAAAATAACAACTATCACCAAGTTACAATAATAAGTATATTCTTTAGTCATGTAATTACCCCACCCCTCTGCACCAGACTCCCTAGCTTTCCCTCCCAATAGCAATTCAAAGAATTGTCACAATTTGGGGCTTGTGATTTGCTTCAAGAACCGATTGTTTAGTGGGTTTCTTGGATGTTCTTCTTCAACATGCACAGACGATTTTTACAGCATTGCTTCTGGTCATCAGTGTTCGTTTTACTATTCAAATGTGTATAAGTCCGCACCTCCCACAGCATGCAGAATGGCTTCCGGAGCACACGTGTCCCATTTCTTGCAGCCGAGGCTAGCGAACACATAGGCCGACGCCTTCCCCTCAATCAGGAGCAGAACCTGGGGTGACAAGAGTCGCGTGACATTTTCACCCACGCATGCAAAGTTGGTGACCCACGCCGAGCCGTGGGTCACCAGGATCGACACATTGCCGAGGGTGCAAGTGGTACGGTCACTCCGAGGTGCGTAGCAATGTTTTATATGTTTGGAGGGTAGGCAGCTATGAATGTCCGTGTCGAGAAGCCAATGAGAGCAGCCGTCTCCCCTGCCAACTATGTTCTCACTCCCATGACTGCCCCAGCTGCAGTTTCAGCAAATATTGATCCAGATGTGGTCATTCTGTATAAATCCACATTATATTGCATTGTTAGTGGCAAAAATACATGTACTTCAAAACCTTCTGATGCAATCGAAGTGTCGTCAAATAAACCCCGTGGCCGACACGGAATGGGGAAGCCTTGATTCAGCAATGACAATTGACGAAGACCTGTACATTATTGAATATTTAACAGGAGGCATGACACTCGTGGTAAGGTTGACCTCACCGCACGATCCCACTCCGATGCCCATGCGCACCTTGTTGCCGGCTCCTCCGACCCGCAGCACATCGGTGGGCTCCATTGCATCCACACAGGCGCTCACCACGGGGTTGCTATGCGAGCGCGTCGTGGTGATGACGCGCTTACCCGCGGGTACCGATGCGGGAACATATCCAAAAGCTCCAAGGCCCAGCAGCCCCCACACTGTACGGCCCATCGTGGCACCCTCGCCCGCCTGCGGCATACGCAAGCACACGAGGTTTCGCAATTTCAGGAGAATTAATGTGCAAAAAAAACCTTTAAATTCACAAATGTAAAAAATATATGAAATATCTAAAATATTCAATGTGTTTTCGTGGATCAAGTGAAATGAGAAAGCACGGAGGTCACCGTAATATGTTCATGTGCATTTCATATTTAAACTGCACGAGATAAAAAGCACAAACCTGGTAGTTGAAAAACGGCTGGTTAATTACTCCAGCAATCGCCTTTCCCTTGTAGGCGATGCCGATGAGCACCGTCACATTGTCGAGGAGCCCTGTCGACGGGAAGAGTGGATGGGGATCAGCTGTGGTGAAAAGCAGCTGTGATGT